GTGGTTCTACTCTGAAATTGCTCCTAAGAACCAAAAGCGGTTCTGTTAGCTTCTTCACGGAAGTACATGGTTCCTGGATGGAATCTCTCCGAAGAATGCTTTATTTTCGAGTGTGTACATTATATGGAGGTTCTTTAGACTTCACCAAGGTTCTTTACACTCACACATCTATTTAAAAACTTGGGTTGTTAAAGCACCAAGCATTGGGTTCCCCAGGGAAACAAATGGAGTTCTTCTATAAAATCGCTTCAAAGTAACACATTATGATATTTTAAGCATGCAGATTATGTGGAGGTTCTTTTGACTTTACAAAGGTTCTTCATACTCGAACATCTATTTACGAATTTGGATCTTCAAAGAACCACCCGTTGAAAGGTTCTTCAAGGAAACAAAAGTGGTTCTTCTATGAGATTTCTTTAAGAACCCTTTATTTTCAAGAGTGTACATATTGTGGAGGTTCTTTGGACTTTACAAACCACACTCAGTTCTATTTAAAAATGGCTCTTTAAAGAGTCATTCACTCGAATGCTCTTTAAGGTAACCAAAGGAACAGACTTGCTCCAAAGAACCCTTTGGTTACATTAAAAAGATGTTTTTTCAAGGGTTCTTTATAAAACCATGAACACTCAAAGAACCATTTGTATACTTTTTTTTTGTATGTTTTTTGCATCATGAAAAGGTTCTTTAGATTGATGGAGAATATGTTCTATATAGCACCAAAAGGGGTTCTTCTGCTGTTACAAGTATGACATTGTACACACTTAATAGTTCTATATAGAACCACGAACACTCAAAGAGCCCTTTGCATGATTAAAAGGTTCTTTGCATGGTGAAATGGTTCAGATCGATGGAGAATGTACTGTAGTTGACGAAATGGGTTCTTCTATTGTGTCAGTGTCAAGCTATGTAGCAATAGAAGAACCCTTTTTGGTGCTATATAGAACCCTTTTCAAAAAGGCTCCATATACAACCATCTACAGCATGTTCTCCATCAATCTGAAGAACCTTTCTCACCATGCAAGGAACACTTTAATCATACAAAGCGTTCATGGTTCCATACAGAATCATTTTCTTTACTAAAGAAACCCTAGAAGAACCATCTTTTTTAAGAGTGTAACAATAGACGAACGCTTTTTGGTTCTATATAGAACCACATACAACACATTCTCCATGAAGAACCATCTTTTTTAAGAGTGCAACAATAGACGAACTCTTTTCGGTTTTATATAGAACCACATACAACACATTCTCCATGAGGAACCATCTTTTTTAAGAGTGCAACAATAGACGAACCCTTTTTGGGTCTATATAGAACCACATACAACACATTCTCCATGAGGAACCATCTTTTTTAAGAGTGTAACAATAGACGAACGCTTTTTGGTTCTATATAGAACCACATACAACACATTCTCCATGAGGAACCATCTTTTTTAAGAGTGTAACAATAGACAAACCCTTTTTGGTTCTATATAGAACCACATACAACACATTCTCCATCAGTCTGAAGAACCATTTCACCATGCAAAAAACCCTTAAAGCTTACAAATGGCTGTTTCGAGTGTTCATTGTTCTATATAGAACCACTGGCATTACTAAAGAACCCTTGGAGAACCATCTTTTCTAAGAGTGTACCTTTACTTTTAGCCATGCTTTATGGACAATGTTCACAGCAGTAATCTAAGTCTGCACTAGCAGCCCTTTGGCACTTCCAGCCCTCGTCCTGTTCTGTCATCTTTTATCTAATAAAGTCATGTACAATGCTTTGACAGCTTTATCATCGTCTGGTCCTGTTTCATTTCTTTTTGCGGCTTTTGAAACAAACATAATGGCCAGGAAAAGACCAAAAAGACTAAATGAGTAATAGCCAGAGAATAGTCCATATTTTGGTCACTGTGAAGTTCTTCAGCCTACATACATTATTACATTACATGCCTTAATGTGGGCGATTTTTGCTTTGAATAAAAGGAAACCTGTCTTAACCACACTGACATGTTTAGCAGTCAGATAAGAAAAGCATTAGTGAATTATTGAATTAGTGTAAACGATGTGTAGCGCTGCTGTCGCAGTGGCTGTAATGAGCTGGTGTGGTGCTCGGTGAAGTTTGTGATGAGGATTTTATGGAGTAATTGGTACCACATGACTCATGCAGTGAGTTTTTTTTTCTGATGTGATTTGCATCTGTTGCTGAAAAGAGCTGCAAATGGAGTCTGCAAATAAACGATCAAAGCCACGGCTTCTCTTGTTCTCCCAAATGGGAAAAAAAAACTAAATTCAATTTCCTGCTCTTGAAATTAACAAATGAAGATGTCAGCATTTAGAACAATGTTCCTAATTGCACATCATGACCGCAGCACCTGGCACAAAGGGCTCTGGCAGCTACTTGTCATATCGGCTGACATCAGATCCTTTCAGATCCAGTCAGTTCAGGTTATGTAGGTTTTTAACAAGCGGCTTTTGTAAAGGGCAGCTACTGTAGGGCAACCGCACTCAAATCCACACAGAAGGTCATTAAAGACTGGACAGTCGGACAAGAGGAGCCTCGACGTGGACTACATGGCATTTAAGTCCTGTTTTTTGGTTGTGCAGTCTTAAAGGTGTCAGAAAGGGTTCCTTGCGTGATATTATAGAAGAACCACTTTTGGTTCCCTGAAGAACCCTTCAGTTAATGGTTCTTTAGGTAACTGTCTTTGCAAATGTAAGTGTGTAGAACATTTATGAAGTATAAAGAACCTCCACATTATCCAGATTTCCTAGGAATGAATCCTTTGGAATCCTTAAATAATGTGCAGGTTCTTAAAAACTTCCAAATGGTTCCTCATCTCTCAAACATGGTTCTTTAGGGAACCAAAAAGGGGTTCTTCTATGGCAGTGCTTTTCAGCTCAGGGCAAGGCAGAGGTACTCCAGGACCAGGATTGAGAACCTGTGTTCTCAAAAAACCTTTTGTGGCATCTTTTTAAGAGTGCAATGTTAAATGTGTTCTAGACAAAAGAAAAAATAGTGCCAAAAAGGGTTCTTTTTGTGATGGTACAGGAGACCACATTTGGTTCCCTAAAGAACTTTCAGTGGATGGTTCTTTAGAGAACCTTTTTTCTAAATGAGATGTGTGAGACTGAAGGACATTTTTAAAATGAAAGAATCTCTACACAACAGTAAACATTCTATGAAGACCCCTCACATGTGAAACCCTTAAAAGGTTCTTTACACTCACAACTCTCTTTTTCTTTTTCTTTACACAACCAGTAGTGGTTCCTGTATGGCATCACTCGAAGAACCCTTTGTGGAAGCTCTTTTGTAAGAGTCTAATGTACAATGTGTTCTAGTCAAGAATGGAGGACACTTTTTTATGCACTTCTCAAAAATAAAGGTGCCATAAAGGGTTCTTTGAGTGATGCTACAGGAGAACCACTTTTGGTTTCTTTAAGAACTTTTCAAAGGATGCTTCTTTAGAGGACCATTTTTCCGAATGAAGTGTAGGAGTATGAAGAATATTTTTAAATTTCAAAGAACTTCTATCTAATGTAAAAATTCTACCAAGAACCCTTAAATTGGTGTAGAACCTTTACATAATGTGAAGGCTCTTTAAACATGTAAAAGATTCTTTCCACTCACAAATCTCGTTTTCAGAAGTTTTTTTACAGGACCAAAAGTGGTGAACCTCTTTTTAAGGATGTAATTTGAGAGGTGTTCTAGTCAAGGAAGGAAGACTTTTTTTATTCACCACTCTTAAAGAGTGATGCTACAGGAGAACCACTTTGGGTTCCCTAAAGATCCTCTCAATGGAAGGTTCTTTAGAGAGGCGTTTTTTCTAAATGGGATTTGCGAGTGTGAAGCATCTTTTCAAAAATCAAAGAACCTCCATATACTGTGAGAAATAAAGGTTCTGTGCAGGTACAGTTCTCATTCATCAAGGTACAAACAATGTAAATGTTCCCTCAAAGGTACACCAGTGGTTTTAAGGTCTAATTGTGAACCTTGAATAAGTTTTTCCAGGTGAAAAATATGTATTTGTTCCTTTTCATAAACTAATTTTTTAAAACAGAACAATAAAATAAAAGCCTGGAGATGAGACGGATGAGGGAGTCAATACAGCTTAGAACATATCATTTCTATGGATTATGTCCCCTGACTAAAGGTACTGAGATGTACCCTTGAGGGAACCACCACAGTGACAAGAGGGGAACTGCCCCAGTAACAGTGTCATACCTTTATTTCTGAGAGAGTATAATGTAAATATTCTAGAAAGAACCCTTTGGTGTAGAACCTTACATTGTGTGACAGCTCTTTACATCTTTAAAGGGTTCTTTACACACACCTCTTTTTTTTCAAATGTGGTACTTTAGGGAACCAAAAGTGATTCTTTTTTGGCAGCGTTTAAGAAACCTTTGTGGAACCTTTTTAACACAGAAAGAAGCTGCTGGTGAGTCCAGACTTCAACATCACTGAATGTGTTTGGGATTATTTGGATGGTGAGAAGCAGAAAAATGCAACCAACTTCTCAGACTGAACTTGAAACATATTCCTGCAGATTTCTTTGAGAAACTGACAGCGAGTCTCCTGAGAAGAATAGAAGCTGTAATGAAGGTAAACAATGGACACCGTAACTGCTCAAATGAATGTTACTACATTCAGTTATTGAGGCTTCTGGGTGTTTTTTTGTTGAATAGCTGTTTCTGCTTTTTTCCATGATGAAAAATCAACTTTTTGCGGTTTGGATTGGAAATTAAATGACTTTGTGCTGTACTTGTTTCACAGGAATGACTGTACCGTCTCTTAGACAAACAACACTGGCGTTTTCAGTCATAAAAACCTTTCCTGCAGCTCGCATTGGTCGCCCCAGCGCCGAGGCGCCAGCCCACCCAGCAACTTTGCGCAGTGACTCATGTGGTGTCGTCTCTCTTACGCACGAAGCAAATCGATGGTAAAGGTGGAGCGAAGGGAGTCACTGGCTCGTTAAGCCCATATAAAGTGATGGGCTCGGCGGAAGCGCGTGAAAAGTTGACTCGTGTGAGCCCAAAGTGGTGTCGCTCTCAGGCTGCAGCTGCGCTCAGGACCATGGAGAGCTCCGTCTGGACGCGGGCGGTCGCGTGCGCCCTGCTGCTGTCCATCGCCTGCGGTGCCGAAATCCACGACCCGGACGAAGAAGTGGACCTGGACACCAGAGCCCTGAGAGACTTCTACCCCAAAGACCCCAACTTAACCAACGAGAAGGAGCTCGTAAGTCCCACGGTGGAAACGGCCGCCGCAGTCAGTTTGAAGGTGCTTGAATTTTGAGTAAAGAGATTTTGTTTATTTGTTTGTTTTCTTTTTGTTTTGCTCTCTGCGTCGTGTCCTCACAGCTCGGCGCTCTGCAGGAAGTTTTGGAAAAGCTGCAGAGTAAAAGGATCTCGCTTTGGGAAAAGAAGTTCGGACGCGTTCCAACGGTGAGTGGAACCATCCCAGAGGAGCTCAGGGTGTTCAGAAGAGAGGAACCAGACAGAACCGTAAACCACACACCTGAAAAAGATGCTTCTTCGAAGGTTCTTAGGAAAAGCAGTGGTTCTATTTAGAACCATGAGTTCTACATAGAACATTTACGTGCTTAAATGGTTCTCTGCATGGTGAAATGGTTCTAAGTATGAACAGAGAATGTGTTGTATATGGTTCCATAGAGCACCAAAAAGGGTTCTGCCAAGCTTGTCACAATAGCACAACTCTTTTTGCTAGTTCTATATAGAACCATATACAACACACATTCCATCAATCTGAAGAGCCATTTCTCCATGCAAAGAACAATTTAGGCATGAAATGGTTATATAAAGAACTTGGTTCTCAATAGAACCACCGCCTTTACTAAAGAACCTGTAAAGAACCATCTTTTTTCAGTGTGCAGTTTTGTGAATGAGATGTGTTTAAATTTTAAAGAACCTCCACATAATGCAAAGGTTCTGGGCAGAACCCTTTAGAACCTTTATATTATATAAATATATATAAAATATATTATATAAATATTTATGTTATATAAATATTTATATATATGATTAGGTTTTAGATGTGTTTAAAGTTTAAAGAACCTCCACATAATGCAAAGGTTCTAAGCAGAACCCTTAAGAACCTTTATATTATGCAAAGGTTTTTCAAACCTTTAAAAGGTTCTCCACACTCACACATCTCATTTTCAAACACGCTTGTTTAAGGAGCTAAAAGGAATTGAAAAGCACCTTTTAAAACTACAGGAATTATTTTTCTAGAACCATAAAGCCAAGAATGATTTAGGAACATTTGATTTTAAGAGTGGAGCTGATATTGGAACAAAAAATTGTAGAATCTGTGTAAATAATTGTAGCATACAGCAAAATCCAATTAATACCTATTATTTAATACCTTAACCAGTGTTTAATTAAGACCTGGCTGATTATTACTAGTTAATTATTTATGCATAGTTAAATACCCATCATTTACTATGATTTAATAGGCAGCTTAATATGCTAATTTAAACACCTAAAGAGGCAAATTAGTAATTACTGATTGGTCCGGCTGGACTCAGATACACAGATTGATTAATGGCTCATTAAATAATTAATGAAATCTCTACAATATTGTCATCTAATATAATAACAAATATCTTGAATGTTATCACACTTTGAGTAATATCTATATTTTTTATTACCAAATGGACACAAATAAACACTGTATGAGTGAATTTGCTGTGTATATATATATATATATATGAATATATATACATAAGTGATGCAAACATTACAGTCACATCGATCAGATTCCCTGAGTTTTTGTGTTGATTTGTGGGTTGCTTTCTGTTTTCTCCTCCACTCTTCCTCCAGTGTGATGTAGGCGAGCAGTGTGCCATCAGGAAAGGAGCGCGGATCGGGAAAATGTGCGACTGTCCCCGAGGAGCCGTCTGCAACTTCTTTTTGCTCAAGTGCTTGTAATGGTCACCGTCCACCGGAGTCACTTTTCACATCAATAAAACCCACATTTCTACTGCCAGTCCTGTTTCTATGCCACATGGACGTCATGTTGTCATGAATGGTCGAATGTGAAAGATTGTTGAATTTATTTGCTGCTTTTGATGTATACATGTAATTAAACTGAATAAAATGTGTTGAATCTTGTTTTCTAAGGCAGTCTGAATGGTCAGTGTTTTGCAGTTGGTTTAATTAACTGTCAGGAAGGGCAGGTGTTGTTTATCTGGCACTGTGGGGACTCAATTACTCAACACAGTGAGAAAAATAACAGCTATGAGTACCTTAGCTGAGAAATATAGCTGTAAAAGGGACTTTGTTAGTTTTGTTTGTTGAGTTTTACATCACAGCCTTAAAAAAATAAAGGTGCCAAAAGGGTTCTTAGCAGAGATGCCATGGAAGAACCACTTTTGTTTTTTTTTTCAACCTCTATCTGTAGCAAATCATTGCAGTTGAAGCAAAACTTTGTATCTGCAAAATGGAGAAGGAAAAAGATTCTTGAATTTCAATGGACGTTAATGTAAATAGATATTAATACACACTGCTTTGGACCAATTCTGTCAGTCTATTCATGAAATTTCCAAATATATGTCAAAAAAAGAAGACAAGGTTTTGTGATCGTGACAATATGATCATTTACCACAGACAATGGTTTAGCCACTTTTCCTCATACTTAAAACAACTTGTTACATCTAAATTATTGTCCATTGTTGGAAAATTCTGGAATATTCCTTCAAAGAAACATCCATTGAGAGGTTCTTTAGGGTTCTTCTACACTCTTAGCAAAACAGAGTTCTATGTAGAACCAAAGTGGGTTCTTTGACTTGTAACAACAGTGAAACACTTTTTTAATGTTATATAGAACCATTTTTTTAAAGGTTATTTAAAACCATATACAACAGTTTCTGCATCATAGAGAAGATCCAAAGAGCCATTTAAACACCGAATGTTTCTTTGAGTTGTGACGGTTCTATATATTACAGATGCCTTTACTAAAGAACTCTTGAAGAACCTCATTTTTAAAGGTGGTATTGTTCCAAAGAACCTTTTTAAGTGCATGCGAGTGAGCTCCATGCCAACACTGATATTCAGTATCTTGATTAAAATAACAGGCACAAGCTTAACCTTGATTGAAAACTCTATCAGGCTAAAACTGGTTTTGTAATTTCGACGGCAGCAGCTGATTATCAAACAGGCGTAAAAGGCACAGCGTGAAAATCGAGCGAGAGACGCTGTCATGAAGCATGTGGACCACTGTGATTGATGCAGTACATCAAACTTCTACCTTTTAGTCACGCTGCAGGCAGGATTCGGCCAGACTGGACTTGTTTACCTGATCTCTGCAGTGTAGAATGAAATATATTAAATGAGGTCCTAAAATCTGACCGGCTGTGCCGCCTTCAAAGCCTTTGTAAAATACTCTATGACCACCTCACAAGAACTGAATGCTGTATTAGTACACCAAGTCATTAAAAAACACTTGAAGTAACATTATTTAGTGAACGAAAATGCAGAATAAGAAGTAAAGAACGTGTTACTTGAACGCTTTACTGATTCAGATTGTCCATGTTTCTGGTTAGATCTGTACGAAAGCCTGTTTCTGCCATTGGAATAAAATATATAGCTATTTGAGTAATAATAATAATAGGGTTTTCCATAATTATAACATACTACCTCATAAGTTTGACATAGCATCTATTTATTATGACTAAGTATCTCATAATTATGACTTGCCATCTCATAAGAAAATGGTTCCTATGTCATGATTCTGACTTAGTATCTTTGAATTTCTCATAACTATGACTTTCTGTTAATTATGACTATAATTATGAGACACTAAGTTACTATTATGGGATATTAAGTCATAATTATGAAATAGAAAATCATTATAATGAGACAGAAGTTCATAATTATGAGATATGTCAGAGTTTTGAGATGTATATTTTTATATTTTATATATATATTTGAGATATATATTTTCCTCCAGTGGTGGAAACAGGCTTCCATAGTGTGAAAGTTCTCATCCTCCTTCAGCAGTCAGTAGCCTTCTCTAGTAGATTTCTAGGTGAGGAATTGTTTATTAATAATTTAGAAGGTCATCATTTATTGAAGATGATTTATTTGTTTGTCGTACGTTATGTTCTTGCTGTTTGATAAAGCAATAAGCTACTCTTGGCCGTGCATTCAGTGTTTGACTACAGCTGAGGGTGTTTTCCCTGCTGGTCTGGTGCTGGTTTAGCTGGTCACCCAGCATTGTAATGCTGGTTGACCAGCATACCAACATCCAAAGCATAACATACACTGTAAAACATAATAATTGCACTTAATTTTTTAGGTTTACTTTACTTTTTTGTGAAAATTACCAATGTAAATCTAGTAGCATGTACTATTTCTTGTCTAATCCTAATCCATTACTTTGATAAATTTAAAATCAGTTAATTTAAAATCAGTTAATTTGGATAAATCCCAAAGAAAGTTGTCCAGCATTCTTAGTGGTTTTCTTGGTTTCTGCCAATTAACCCTTATTTTTCAAATTTATAAACATAATTCTCTTCGCAAAGTTTCATTTTTGTGTCAAAGCATATTCTCACACTAAATGTTAAGTTTGAATGTGTTTTACATGTTGTTGTTATTCTCACCATGATGGTGTTTTGTGTTCAGAATAGCAGATGTGCATTAAGCTATCGGAGTCCGTCTCTCATCTCAGCCATTTATTCATTACTGTATAAAGCAGCCCATTTAATATAATGGAGTTGTTTTAATTGATGCCATATGTTACATAAGGAAGAGTATTTGGTTCAAATTGACATAACTAATTCAAGAGTAAGCAGGACTTGAAAAGTAGTGCACTGGCAGCTCAATGGACACCATTTATAATTATTAGGCGGTTTGAGTTAACTTTACTTGCTGCAGAAATGTTGATCACTGAAAATTAAAAAGTAATTATAACTCAAACACAAAGTTATTTAAGCTTGAACCTTTTAAGTAACTTTGATTAATCCCTTAAAATTCCAGTCATATTACAACTAAGACTTATTATTCAGTAACTACAGGGACTTCAATGCAAACAGGTTGAGCTATTCTTAGGTTATAAAGTGTGTAATGAAACTTTGGGCCTGCCAGAAGACCCATGGCCATGTAAGGGGTTAATTTTTTTCGAGGCAACAAATTTGCATGATTTTTTAAGTAATTTAAGTTTACAGTGCATGTAGGTTTTGCTGGTGACCAGTCATGCTGGTCTGTGCTGGTTTTTCTAGCAGAGGAAAAAGTAAAAAGTCACAGTAACACAATGACTCAACTGGTTTATGCTTTATTTAGTCATTCGTTATCATAACAGACTGTATGATACACTGAATTGAATTTGTTTTAAATGCATGCATCATTTCCACATGAATAAAATATATTTCATCAACATAATTATTGCCTAAGTAAGAAATGTGAAGGAAAATTGTGTTGATGTAATATTTTTTATTCATGTGGGAATAATATTCACATTTGCAGTCAATTTCATGCATTGTGATTGTGTTGTAAAGATGCAACTGAGTCCTTCCAACTCTCAGGCACCTAACAGCTTTAACAGGCGTATATAAGTGAAATCTGTGATATTTTCGAGTCCTCTGACTCATACAGGGGAAAAAAGGAGGGAAAAGGAAGGAAAAAGGGCACTGAATGTTGACGCAGTCTATCTACCCTAAGATGAAGTTTACCTCCGAGGCTACCCATTTATGGAGGCCAGCGCACAACCAGCCTCCAGGACACGCTTCTAAATTGCCTGAGCTGTCCATCAAGCCAGCCATCCGACTGTGTGCCTTCACTCTGCGTTAGTTTCATTTATGTTTATTAATATTTAACAAAGTGCCAGAGGAAGTCCGCGCGTGTCTGGGATGAAAATCGAGTCACGAGCTGCTGCTGGATTCCACGAACAAAACACCCACTCCAGACCTACAGGTGTGGGGATATTGATTGCAGCTTTAATGACTGGCTGATATTCTTGAAAAGCTTTTTTTCTTGCTGGGGCCAGTAGATCCCTGCTGAAAAAAAAAAAAAAACATAGAAATTAAGTGTTTCTGTTGGTTCCTCATGGTTTTGTAATGTGTTTTGGCTTTTTTAATGCATTGTTATCACAATGTAAAGCCCGTGTGTCAGGCTCGAGTCCTCGTGGGCCAAAACACTGCAGACTTCAGCTCACTAACTCATTAAACACACCTGATTCAGCTAATTAGCAAGACCTTCATGAACTGAATTCAGAGTAGTACATGAGGGTAAACGATGATCTCCGCAGCACTTTGGCCTGGAAGGTCCCCAGTTTGACATGCCTGATGTAAAGGATCCTAACATTCTAACAGGTGACCAACAGCCTATAAAGGTTCCTGGCATTCTTAGTAGTTTAATTGGTTTCTGTCAATTAATTAATTAATTCGTTTTCTAATTGATAAACATAATTCTCTTTGCAAAATGTTAGTTTTGTATCAAAGCATGTTCTCATGCTAAATGAAGTTTGAATGCACTACATGTTGTTGTTATTCTCACCTTGATGGTGTTTTTTATTCAAGTTCACCAGTTCAGCATTTTACCATGCTGCACCATAGCAAATGTGGTGATGGTGTTTTGTGTTCAGGCCATTAAGTGTTTCTGTTGGTTCCTGGTTTTGTAATGTGTTTTGGCTTTTTTTAATAGGTTGACATCACAATGTTTACCATGAATGCTACCAGAATAGCAAATGTGGTCATGGTGTTTTGTGCTTAGGCCATTAAGTGGTTCTGTTGGTTCTTTATGGGTTTGTAATGTGTTTTGGCTGTTAGTGTTAGTTTTGTATCAAAGCATATTCTCATGCTAAATGAAGTTTGAATGCACTACATGTTGTTGTTATTCTCACCTTGATGGTGTTTTTTATTCAAGCTCACCAGTTCAGCATTTTACCATGACTGCTAACAGAGTAGCAAATGTGGTGATGGTGTTTTGTGTTCAGGCCATTAAGTGTTTCTGTTGGTTCCTGGTTTTGTAATGTGTTTGGGTTTTTTTTTAATGGGTTGATATCACAATGTCAAGCACATGTGTCAGGCTCGAGTCCTTGCAGGCCAAAACACTGCAGACTTCAGCAAACTGCCTCTTTAAACACACCTGATTCAGCTAATTAGCAAGACCTTCATGAGCTGAATTCAGAGTGTTAGATGAAGGTAAACATTTTTTCCACAGCCCTTAGCCCGGAAGGTCCCTAGTTTGACATGCCTGATGTAAAGGATCCTAATGGTTTAACAGGTGACCAACAGCTGATTGTGAATGTATTTGATGGATTCCTGATGGGATCTAAAGCTGTTTTTACAGGAAACTAGTGGTCCCTATCAGAGACCCTTAAGCCAGTTCCCATTATGGTCCTTTTTCAGCAGGGATGACAGAAGTGTCGACATGTTTTATCTGCTCTGCTGTAACAGTAAGAACGTAAAACACGAAGTGACTAAGCACTCTGAAAATGTCATATTGACCAATTAAAGCTGATGCCTCGTGGACGTTAACTTTACTTGACGATTAGGGGTCAAAAAGAGACGCGACAGAAAGCGCAGATGCTCGGAGCCTAATGCGAGCAAAGTGCTTCCTCACAGACCCCAGAGAAACTTCAGCACCTTCTGCTTTTACATAAAACTGAGTTACAGACACCAAACCGAGCTTGGCTTCCAATTAATCTGCTGGTTATTTGAATTTTTTCATTCCACCTTAAATGCTGCTGCAGTCAACACTAGAATGTGACTGCTGCACCATTTAAGGTGGAATGGAATAGTCGAATAGCAAGCAGGACTGAAGACGTGTACAAAGTCTCTTCTTTTAAAGTTCGAGCTTCAAATGGACACAATCCCTCAAACATTTGGTTGAAACTCACTATCCTGCAACTGGCCAAGTAGTTGAATTCCACTTACTGCACCAGTACAGGTAACAGTAACAGGCACTTTACATGACACTGCTATTAAATCAGTGCTGTCCTGTAAATTGTCCAATTGTTCAGCAATGGCTGAGCTAACCCTAACCCTAACCCTTGGTAAAGATGGGTAAAAGAAGGTGATTTAATGTCTTTGTGGTCAATTCGCTCAATCTCACACTGAAAATGGCTTTAAAAGATTTAGATGCCACCTGCATACAAACAAACTATTTGGAAGGCGTGCAAGAAGAAATCCATTTCATTCATTTAGCCACAAATGAAAGCACCTGGAGTTCACTAGATGCCTCTGGACCTTTGGCTGGAACCGGCTTCTGTGGTCAGATGAAAATAGATCTTGTTGGCACCAAACACTAAAGGTGGATTTGGCAGAAAAAAGAAAGATGGTTATACAGACAAGAATCTAATCCCCATTGTTAACTATGAAGGAGGATATGTGATGTTTTGGGGCTGGTTTTCCTTCAGAGGTCCTGGGAACACTGGCCTATATTTATCAAACTTGTCACAGCATGAATGTTGATCTGGGGTCAGCTTACAGCTTTTACATAACACTGAATAAAATAACATGAACTGCTGAGACCTGATCTTAGATCATTGTTCTTAATTTGAAATGCTTGATAAATATGTATAGGATATATGGCATTACGAAGTGCAAGCACATTTCTAACAAAAATCTGTCTCCCTCTGCCAAAAAGCTGGAACTGAATAATTTCATATTCCAGCAGGACACTGGGCATCATTCACCAACCGTTAGAAACAAGAAATGTCTTCTTAAGACCCACTTACATGGTTTTAATGAAGATTCAGACATTCACCAGTGTTTTCTTATTTGGGATTTGTTCTTGGGTCAGAACAGAATCTACTCACAACCAAGAACACACAGTTCTGCGCTTTAAGAACACGTCATGAATCTGACGTAGACGTTTTCTTAGGATCTTTCTCAAGAGCACATTTAAGAAAACACTTAGGGAGGTATTGGTGAATGAGGCCCAGTGATCCTAAACACACATCTAATTCCACCCATTCAGTGACCACAGAAAAAAGACCCTGAAAGATGTGGAGAGATTGTGTATTAATGACTGGTCTCAGTATCTCCAATGTCATCAAGGATTTCAGAACACTCATTGCTGTTATGTGGACAAACAGAGGTTGTACAAATACTCCAAATAACATAATTCTCAAAATTATCATAAAACGATGCTTTCACAACAATCTGTAAACTCTTTAGACGTTTGGTTCCTATCACCACCACTGTGAACAGTTCTGTTAGTTTCTCTACAAAGCACCATTTTACCAATCTGAATGACTTTGCTGGCATCTTAATGATTTGATTATACAAAAAAAAAAAAATAATGAAATTCTCCTTTAAATACAGTGAGTTTATTTTATATGCATTGAGTGATGAATTGTAATCAGGCTGATTTAACAGAAAAACATTAACAAACTGAACTCAGAGTGAATATCGGGGAGTTTACCAAACTCATACAAGAGCCAATGTCAGTAAATCAGCAAACACGAAACATTTTGAACTAAATAACAGTTTTATGATTTCCTGTGGTAAACAGAGAGAACAGTCTATTTTCAAAAACAAGTTACTGAAATACTGAGTATTTCAATAACTGAACAGTGAATTGTTTTTAAATGTTAGTATTAAAGCAGTTCAACTAAACAGGAAATGAGTCACATATCAGTAATTAGAGGAAATACAAAGCAACAAAGGGTGATGACACACTGCTACTGGCATTAACAAGCTTATAAAATCAATACCAAATACAAAGCTAATATCCAATCACTCTATGGTTAATAACTTAGCACACAGACTGATATCAGATCCTTCAAAATCATATACACTCAGATGAAGATGTATAATATCTTTAAAAGGCAATTAATCAAAAATTGTTTTAGCTTTACATTTAAGGAGAACCTCTGCATTTGTGAAAGAACCACTCTACAAGTCTATTACCCTCAGAAAGAAGCTCAGTATTTCAAACAGGGTGATCCTATACCGAGTACAATATTTAGACACTCAGTGCTATTTGAAACCCAGGAACAATGGCAGTTTTCATCCTAATGCTTGACTAACAGATACAGCAACTCACATTTAAGTTAACATAAAAGGTGAAAATTAAAAACAGCAGCCTTTCAAACAACCTCTTTAGAAGAGTATAAACACAAATCAATCTAAATCCATTTTTTGTCTGCCATTTCCTGCTGCGTGGAGTACAGCTGTATGCAGAGGCTTGGAAACCCCAGCTCAAATGACATTTTGTCGATTTTCTAAGTGAAAATAACACGTCTTCTATAGAGAAATCACTTCTGCACATTTTATTTCACAATTTCTACTTATCATATAGTTTAACAAAAAAGATAAAATAAAAAACATAAAATGTGCCGTAACTTTTGCTCAGACCTCATTTTATGTCTTATTATTTTCCCAATATGTTAAATTCAGAAAATAAACAGTATTTGTGCACTAAAATGTGCCGAAGTGTGTTCTCTGTGGAGGATGTGTTAACCTTTTTTTAGAAGATGAACAAACAACAAACCTTTGGACATAACTATGTTTACCTTATAAAGTGACCAATGTAAAATCTACATTTTAGCACAGTCGAACATTTTGTAGCAGTGTTTCTTTCTTCTTTTGCCTACAAAAAGCCCATCCCCACCAACTTGAGAAGAACCCTTTTTTTCCCCAAACCTTCAGCATCACTTATGTAACATCAACTGCAACTGAAGTGGACATCGAGGTACAAAAACTACCCTGCATCTACACTCACTGCACACATAGGTGCACAGTCACTGACTATAGCTCATCTGTTGCTGTACCATTTATCATTACCCTCTATCCCAGCCATCGATGGAAATGGACCACCATATAGCACCACTGCTGACCAGATAGTACTTTCATCATAGTGGCATGGTGCAGATGCATGAGTATCATGCGCAGCTGTGTTGCTGTAGTTTTCCACAAGTAAGCATCACTTCTACAGCCCACCACCCAAAAAAATCCAGCCAAGAGTGGTCCCGTGGTCAAAAGCAGACCACTGACAAAGGGAGAGATGATGATGTGCATGGAAAAGATCTGGACAGTGGTGGTCATCTTCAATTAATAGGAGACTGCTGGGCAGCTGATAAATGTTGCAGCAACAGATGGACTACAGTCTGTAATTGTAAACCTACAAAGTGCATACATATGGTAGGTGATTCTGATAAAATGGCCAGTGGACATAGATGCAAGGCAATTCAGGTTAGGAAAAAAAAGGTAAAACTTTTTGGAAGTGTATATGGGGCTCAACTACAATGACCGTACGAAGGTAGCGATGTTACTGGCACTACAGAAACAAAGAGGATTTACTGATCACCCTGAAAAGGATAGCTGAGGGCAGGGGGCAAAGTAGACCGTCTGGGCTGTTCGTCCAGCAGCACCAAGTCCTCCACGTCTCGTCCTCGAAACCTGCGCCGGGACAACTTCACCGTCACCTTCCGGCCTTGGAATATTTTGAGGGCCTCCTTGGAGGCCATTGCCCTGGCTGCACACTCGTCACGGCCGTATCCCGTGCCAATGTAGACAGACTGGCAGCGCAGTTCACATACCTGGCCCTCCTTTTGGGTGCAGCCAGCAGGCAGGTCAGGAATGTCTTTGAGCGGAACGAACACACAGCTCAGGCTGGCCTTGCACGACTCCACACAGGTGCGCAGGATCTCAAAGTGGTCCAGGTTAGGTCCGAAACCTCCCGCAGACACCAGCTTCCAGGCCACAGCTTTATAGAGGCGATTGAAGAAAGGTTGGTGTTCTGCAGGGGCCCCTGGTGAGGGGCCCGATTTGACAGAAGCAGCAACTGGATGTCCACTATTTCGTTCTACAGCTTTACTATCAGTGTCATTGGGGCTTGTTTTGCTCTTCTTAACGCAGCTCTCACCATCTGGGGCTACATGTGAAATTGAAAAGAGAGTGATGAGGTTAACACTGATACAAAACAGACAGATCTATCCACCTATTCAGTTGAAGTTATAAGGAGTGTTTCTGCCTGGACTGTTTTTTCAACGAGGCACAATACAGGGCAGATCTTATTTACATATATCAGTCTTACAGGCACAGTAAAAAAACACTGGCAACACACTCCACAAAAGTCTTGGGGATACTTTACCAAATCGCTGTCAATAAACACCATTCGCCGCTGCAACTACATATGCAAGTTAAAACTATACTATGCATAGCAGAAGCCAAATGTCCAGAAATGCTGCCGACTTTCTGTGCTTGAGCTCATCTGAAATGGACTGATGCACAGGGGAAATGTGTACTGTGGTCTGATGAGTCAAACTGTTCATGAAAATAATGTACGTGGTGTTCTCTGGGCCAAAGGAGAACACCACAAACCAGACTGTTACCGGCGTAAAGTTCAAAAGCCAGGGTCTGGGGATTTTAGTGCCCATGTCAGAGGCAACTTACACATCTGTGAAGGAACCATTAACACAAAGATATGTGCACAATTTGGAGCAGCATTTTTCAGGGATGGCCATGTTTATTTCAACATGATAATGCCAAGCCACATTTTGCCCATGTTACAACAGCATGGCTGCATAATCGGAGAGTGCGAGTGATAGACTGGCCTGCTTGCAGAACAGACCTGTCTCCGACTGAAAATGTGTGCAATATGAAGCACGGAATTCAACACTGAAGGCCAAAATTCAACACTGAAAGCCTCGTACGGCTGCCAGCTGAATACTTGTATGCTTTCAAAACTGGATTAATTTGGTGTCTTCAGTCCCAAATCGTTCATTAAAAATTGTTAGAGGGTAAGGTGATGCAACACACTGGGAAACATGCACCTGTCTCAGCTTTTTGGAATACGTTGCAGGCATCAATTTTGGAATGAGCGTTTATTTACAAAAAAAACAAAAATCAGTATATAAGGTAAAACGTCAAATATCATGTTTTGCACTGGTTCAGTTTAATACAGATCAAGTGGAATTTACTAATCACTGCTATCTCTTTTTATTAGCATTCCACAAATTGTCCCAATTTATATTGGAATTGAGGTTTGTAACAGTGGTTCCTTGAACATCCTGGTAGAATGAGCTGCCAATAACTAAATATTCAGACATATGCTCACTATTTCAAATCAAGTTGACAGTACATTGAGTATTATGTCTTTAAAAGAGACTCTGACAGGAAACAGCAGCTGCCAAGTATAGTTTTCTAATTTGCTCAACGTAACACTCTGCTAATAGAAACAGCAAGCCATATGCAATTTAGCGTGAAAATTAAAAACAGCAGTTTTTCAAATATCCTCTACAGAAGTGGGTATATAAACAAGACAAAAGTCCTGTTTGCATCTGAACTGTTTCCTTGAATGTTATTATAATCTTACTTATAGCATAAGAACAAAGAATTAAATCTCTATTCTTTCTCCTGTAGTTATTAATGGAATGTTATTTCATTTGAATAGTAATATTTTCATGTTTCCCATGTTTTTCATATTTTCCTGCGTGAAGATTTTGCAACTAAATGCAAGTGTTTTATCAATAAATAATAGATTACTACAATTAATTAAGTGAAAAGATCACAGACTGTCTCACCTGAAACAGCAGGCCTCTTCCCTTTACCTACGATTTCACCTCTTGTCTTGTGAACACACTTATCAGCTTCATTCACAGTGATCCCCTCGGCCATCTCATTCACCTTGTCCATCACAGGCTGGGGATATCTACAATGCAAGCTCACATTCAGGATCTAAGCCACAGCTGCAATACCGCCACACACACCCATAAAAACATGGTTCTTCAAGTGTTCTTTAGTAAACACAATGGTTCTATTTAGAACCATTTCATGCTTAAATGGTTCTTTGCATGGTGAAATAGTTCTTCAGATTGATAGGGAATATGTTGTAGATGGTTCTATATATAATCTTTTTGAAAATGGTTCTACATAGCACCAAAAAGGGTTTTTTTTATTGTCATAAGCTTGACATCAGAACAACAGCAGAACCCTTTTTGGTGCTATGTAGAGCCACTTTCAAAAAGGTTCTATATAGAACCATATACAACACATTCTCCATCAATGTGAAGAACCATTTCAACATGCAAAGAACCATTTAAGCATGCAGATGGTTTTATACAGAAGTTGTGGTTCTAAACAGAACCATTCCAAAGGTTCTATATAGAATCTTTTTGAAAATGATTCTACATAGTGCCAAAAAGGGATCTTTTATTGTTATTACTTTGACATCGGACCAACAGCAAACCCTTTTTAGCGCTATATAGAACCATTTTCAAAAAGGTTCTATATAGAACCATATACAACACATTCGCCATCAATGTGAAGAACCATTTCAGCATGCAGAGAACCATTTAAGCACGCAAATGGTTTTATATAGAAGGCATGGTTCTAAATAGAACCATTCCCTATACTAAAGAACCATCTTTTTGTGTGTAGTTCAAAACACTGTATGTCAAGGTCAAGACAGAGTGCTTACCGACAGCCTAAGAACACATGATTGGCCCAGACCTTGGACATAGAAAGAAGCCTATCCAGACTAGGGGTCGTGGTCCCTGGTCGGATGGTAGGAAAGACCTCCATGTTGCGGAGGACAAATTCTCGTCTGGCCAGCCACTGTTTATTAGTCTCATTGTGCTCCTTTAAAGACTCCACCCATTGTGCCAGGTCGGGGTTTTGACTAAGGAACTCAGAAACATCTCCTCCACTCCCCTCCGCCATCCCTGAAATAAAAAAAACAGGACAGGGCCAGAACTCATTCAAAACATGACCTGATTTTTGTGCCCTCGTTTTATGCCCCCAAATAAGCTCCCTACACCAAAATGCATTTTGTGTTCTCTTCACTGACTCAACAGTTGAGCTGTGGAAAGTGCCTGTTTAGCATGTTTACATGCAAATACTAACAGCACTGCCATCTATTCAACTCAGGCCATAACAAAGAGGTGGTTATCTAACTCGTGCTAGATCAAATGTGGCTCATGGAATATCTCTGCCTGGTTGTGCAGTTAGCCAGCCGGTTAATATCCAGCTATAACTCCTTATACATCTACATAGTGCTCTTATAACACTGTAACAGTAATTAGCCGATGCTAGCCAGTGCCCTACCTGGTTAACGCTGACCAGCCGTAACAACGTAACTAAGCGTACTTTCAGGCTTCATCCACCAATTTTTACATCTATCTCAGTTATAACCCAACATCTGAAGCCAAGAGTCGTTAGTCTCACTTCTCAGCACGATGTATAAGCAGATATTTGAGCGCTAACTACGTTAGCACGCTAGCTAAAGTTGGTCATTTCACTTAGAAACGCCTCATTATTAAGCTAGGTCGCATATTTTAACAAACCCAAGGTGAACAAAAGACAGAAATGGACTAGCTAAGCCACGAAAGAGTGAGTAAAGTGAGAACCTTTAAAGAGCTTCTTTTCGCCGATTCCGCATAACAGGTTAAGCTAAAGAAGCAGGCAAAACAATATTAGAGAAACCTTGACCTGAAGGACTACATTTCCCTACGTCAGACCGACGGACTACATTTCCCTACGTTAGACTGAAGAACTGTGTTGAAAGACTACATTTCCCTGCGTCGAACTGAAGGTCTACGTTTCCTTGCGTAGCGGCGCTTTTGGCGGTGTTGACGTTAGCTGGTGTAGCTAGCGGTAGCTTAGAGATTTCATGGATGTTTTTGTGTTTTATTAGCTCTGATATTTTGAATAATCATCTGCAGCGATGATCCACGAGTTGCTGCTTGCTTTAAGTGGATATCCTGGTACCATATTCACGTGGAATAAACGGAATGGGTTGCAGGTATTTTATTATTATTCTGTGCATGTCGTCTAACGTTAACCTATCTGGAGTAACTTAGCTATGACACTTAACCTACTGTAGGCACTTCATATTAAAATATTTAATTCAGTTAAAGATCATACTGAATATGCCAAATAATGTTCCCTGCTGAAACAAGACCATTAGAACCATTTACAGTGAAACCTGATTATTTTGCTTTCTAATGAGAATTGGCTTAATGGTTACCACTAGAGACCACTAGTTTCCTATAGGACATCTTTGGATCCCCTTAGAACATGATCAAATGCATCTGGACTCAGCCATTAGACTCATTTACACTGTGATATCAACCCATCAGGAAAGCACAGAATACCATTATTGATTATTGGACAGCACCAGAAACTTAAAATGGTTTGTAACCTATGATTTTTTTTCAGCAGGGATGTGAACAATAAAATTATCATGTTTTTATAGTAGGTTATTTTATATAATAAAAAATATTTTTAATTGTATTTTTGACTGTTCAAAATGAACTTATACACATCTATGCACATCTTAACACAGTGAATTATATCAATATTTTAGCATTGCCACTGAAAAAGAAGCATGGTTCTCTACCTTCTTCTGTAATGTTCTACATAGGTCATGAAATAGTGCCTTAAACTTGTGATTTCCATCTCCAGTCCTGTAGTTCATGCACTGCACAGCGTCATGTTTTTCCTGCACCAAGATGCCATCAGCTAATATCAATATTACCTCAGGAAAGACCTCCATGTTGCTTATTAGTCTCATTGTGCTCCTTTAAAGACTCCACCCATTGTGCCAGGTGGGGGTTTTGACTCAGGAACTCAGAAACATCTCCTCCACTCCCCTCCGCCATCCCTGAAATAAAACAGGACGGGACAAGAACTCATTCAAAACATGACCTGATTTTTGTGGCTTCATTTTATTCCCCCAAACACCAAAATTATTTATGGGCTGATGCCAATATCCAATATTTTTCTTGTGAATGATGATGCTGCTATATAAACATTTATAGGCTCTACAAATTGAAACTACATCTTTCTGGATTAGCATATATAACTAATATACCATTTGCTTCTGTAGATGTTATATGATTTAAAAAAAGTGGTAAAATAAATACAATTCAGGCATTTTAGCAGAGTAACTTATCCAAATTACAGTAAAATTTCATCAAGTATGGTTTGAAATCAGTCAAATCTAAATTTCTGTCCAACGCTGATCATTTTTTGAGCAGTTATCTGTAGATACCAATTTGATTCCAAAATCAATATGCATTCTTAGACCTCATACCTGAAATCCTTTTGGAACTGAATCAGATGTGTTAGAGCAGGTCTGCATGGACCCCCGCACTGCAGGTGGACTACAGAACTAAAGGTGAGCAGCAGTGTGCCCATTAGTGAGCCATATGGGGGTTCAGCTTGAGTGTTTGTTGCAGGTGTCCCAGGACCTGCCATTTCTCCATCCGAGTGAAACCAGCGTCCTGAACCGCCTGTGTAAAATGGGCACCGACTACATGCGTTTCACCGAGTTCATAGAGCAGCACACAGGGCCACGTCCACCAACAGGTATGTGTAATATTATTCTAAAAACAACTCAACCTGGACATGTCGGGTTTTTAGGGTTTTATTTATTGCTCATCATCTGTAATACTCTGTCTGGTCACTCAGGAGCACTACTCGAACCAGCCGAGCCAAACTGGGCTTCATGGGATATACCTGCGGGCTTTCTGCACCGGCCTGCATTCCATGTTGCAGCCTTATAGACAAGCCTTACTGGACCTTGAGCAAGAGGTTTGACATCAGTGGTTCATCTTTTTTATACTTTTTTTAAACTTATGTTCAGGATTGATACTCAGTCTCTTGAAAATTTCTTTTTGCAGTTTCTCGGCGATCCACATCTCTCCATTTCACATGTAAACTACATGCTGGAACAGGTAGTGAGAATTCAGTTTGATGTAATTGCTCAGATTTATTAAACTATAATTTGTTATGCATTACTATGGAATCACCATTCAAAGGTTTGGAATCACTGTTTTGAGTAATACAAAAGTAGATTAGTTGCATATACATATATAATTATTCTAATATGATGCTAATATTTTATAGGTTTCCAACAATTAATAGGGAGCTGTAAAAAAATGAAGAAATTACAATGATGAATGGAGCTGTAGAATAATTTATAATAAGTTCTATAGCTTTGAGAATGAACTTAATGAATAAAATGAATATCCCAAATATCCAGATAATATCCAAAATGTGTCATATTTTTAAAAAGATGATCAAATCTCACAAATCAAATAGTATTAATAATAATTTTGCTACAAAATGACTAAAAATAAATAATTAACGTTTATTATTTATTCATTTTTTCCATTTCATAATGTCTTGTTGCTCCCAACATACTTTAGATTGTGAATAAACTGCCCGTTTATGTTTTGGTGTCTAGTTTATAACATTTTAATCTACACTGTATAAGTTACTATTTAATATGTGATTCCAAACCTACAAACTACAAACAGTCATGTAGATCTGATGAGTGACTGTCCGTCTCATTGTCCTTCCTGCTGATCAGTTTCAGTTGCTCTTCCCATCTGTGATGGTTGTCGTGGAGACCATCAAATCTCAAAAGGTTAGTGACTTAGTGGTGGATTAGTACGTGATTAACTCTGCAGTAGTGATTTATAAATGTGGATTGAAAGAACGTTTCTTGTCCTGATCAGATTCATGGCTGCCAGATCCTGGAGACTGTTTACAAGCACAGCTGTGGAGGACTGCCCCCTGTCCGGATGGCCTTAGAAAAGTGAGCTCCGATTTGATACAGCTAAAGCATCATGTTATATACTGCATACAATATTTATTAATAATGTGAATATGGATGCCAGATGCAGTGTGATAGCAGTCGGTTGTTCAACACAAGCTTCTCTGTGGGAACCAATAAACTCAATCTTGACCTTCACATTGATACTGAGGCATTGACGTTGTTATAGTAGGGCTGGGACGATAAGCACTTTTGAAAAATGAATACATCAGGATAGTTATTGATAAATATTGATATGATCATTACTTAAAACCACAGGTATATAACAGTACATATTTAGTACATCTAGGAGAGTTTCAGTGTCCACCAGGGGGAGAGACAAAGCCTTAAAGGAACAGTTTGGTGAAAAATCAAATGTGCACAGTTTTCCTCTCCACCCAGATGTAGCCAACTGGTCAAGACACGTTTGGATCCTACATTTTGCTTATTAATTTAGAACTGGAGCGTTGAGGCTAACAAACACTAAAACTCAGGAGTAATCCAAATAGCCCAAATTGTTTCTGTAGAAGTACATCCTGTAGAAAAGATCGTTCCACCTGCTCAAATGGCATCCAAGTCTATATCAAGGTAGCACAGACTTGTGGATGTGGTTTGGGACACAACATGTTGTTCATTTTCATAGCTCACTGTAAGTCATACTGTGCTCAGCAAGTCTGTGCAACCTTGAATGAAGGCCAGGATGCTGTTTAAGCAGGTTGAGAGACGTTTTGTGAATGTACTTTGCGTAGAAACAATTTGGGTGACTATTGAGTTGTAGTGTTTGTTGGCAAAGTTAGCCTCATAGCTCCAGTTCTAAACCAAAGAACCCAAATTTGGATTCCAAACATATTTTGGCTGATCGACTACATTTAATTTTTCACTGAACTAATCCTTTAAGGCTGAGTTTTCATATGGAAACAGCAAAAAATGCATGTCAAGTTAAAAATGGGACCATTAACACTAATGCAGTCTTTCAAAAAGATTTCCTATAATGCTCAGTAATGCTCGGCTGAAGCAGAGCCGCCGTTAGTCCTGGGTAGATCCACTTCTCCAGTGTTCCCAAGTGTTTATGTAATAACAAAAACACATTGGATATGAGGGTTCAAAGGCATTAGAAATGGCATCTGCTGTTCTTATGTATAAAGAATGACTCAACATGAAGACCTCATGACGGCTGAGCATACCAGTACATGCACTTTTGCTCACGGGGAAACTCACTGTTATTTGTGTAAATAAAACCTGGACTGGAGTTTCAGCTCATGGATCAGAGTGCTGAACATTCACAAATACAAAATGGAAAAATTTTATCTATTGATTTCATCTTAGCGACCATTAACAGTCATCATTATTAATACGTCTATAAGTGGCCCAAGCCTTAGATTTTAGCTGTACTGTTGATAAAATACTCATCGTGCTTCAGTACCTTGTGCTTCATTAGTGGCCACTTTATGAGCTCCTCCTACCTTAAAGGTCCACTGTATATTACAGACTGTACATACTTAAAAAAGATGGTTCTTCAAGCATTTTTAGTAAAGAAAATGGTTCTATATAGAACCATGAACACGCAAAAAAGCTTTTGCATGATTAAAGGGTTCTGTGCATCGTGAAAGTGTTCTTCAGATTGTTGGAGAAGGTGCTGTAGATGGTTCTATATAGAGCCTTTTTGAAAAGAGTTCTATATAGCAACAAAAAGGTTTCTTCTGTTGTTACATTCTTGAGATCATAACAGTAGAAGAGCCCTGTTTAAAAAGGCTGTATATAGAACCTTCTACAGCACCTTCTCCAACAATCTGAAGAACACTTTAATCATGCAAATGTGGTTTGCGTGTTCATGGTTCTATATAGAACCGTTTTCATCACTAAAGACCCCTTGAAGAACCATCATTTTTAAGAGTGTAGCCCTTCTGTTTGCACAGTTTGCCAGCTGTCCTCTATTCATCATTGGTCAGTTTCTGCCTACAGGACTGCTGTTGTCCAGATATTATGTGGAGAGTGGATCAAAATAACCAACTAAGAGCAGCTCCATGGTCAGAAACTGACCACTGATGAGGGGCCAGAGCAGAGATCAGCAAATGAATCCAAAATCCTGGATTTTGTAACCACTGGAACAACACTAGATGATTATGACATAAACAGTTCAGTAAACTGTATTCAAACTGGATTCGAAGGTCAGATTTACAGACCCCTAGGCTAGAGGATAGCTACAACAAATTCTGCAAGGGGTTTCTAATAAAGTGGACAGTGTAATTTGTTGCATTCAACAGTGACTGAATGTAGATTTACTGTTATTGTGGTTCATTTTGCTTGAATAGGATTCTTGCAGTGTGCCATGGTGTGATGTATAAGCAACTGGCTGCATGGATGCTTCATGGGCTTCTGCTGGACCAGAGTGAAGAGTTCTTTGTGAAGCAGGGCCCCAGCGCAGGAGGAGCTGCAGCAGCGCAGGAGGAAGAGGAGGAGGACCTCGGCATCGGAGGCCTGAGTGGGAAACAACTCAGAGAGCTGCAGGACCTGGTGAGGAGGAAACCTCTTTAAAGGGGTCATATCGTGGAAAACTGATTTTTTTTAAGTGTCTGATCTACCAGGTAAACATCGTTCCAAAATATGCCTAGTCCATATAGTCTCTTCCATAAGTATATGGAAACTTTGCTGCAAAAACAGCTTAAATTTATTGTTTTTGTGATGTCACAAAAACCAACACATTTACATATATCCACCTTTTCAGCCTAGAGCAGTTTAGCCCCGCCCCTTTACGTTGAAGTTATAAGAAGTGCTTCAGCTCAGATGGCTTTTTGAAGGAGGCATAATACAGGGCAGCCAATCAGAGCACAGAGCTCATTTACATATATCTGTCCTAAAGGCACAGTAATTAAAACAGCCTGTTTAATTCTAGGGCATGAAGAGAGAGTAGTCATGTCAAAATGAAGTCTGGCTTCTTTTGGTTATAAAACCACACAAATGTCAAAAAGTGAGAGGAAAAAAGAGGAAAATGTTGGATGTGGGCCCTTTAATTTCTTGCTCTACTTCATTTCTCATGAGAACATTTGTCCCTGACATGAAGGTGTTTCCATAACATCACTCTTGAAATGTGAAAGCTCACTTACTCAGCATAATCTGAACCCAGAACATCTTCCCTCAGGCTATAGCATAAGTTTAATTCATCAGGCTTGGCTGGATTTGTGCTCATTGTTGGTGAAAATGACCGGAAATGCCTTGATTGTTTAGTATTCTGACCCCCTGTTTTTGTTCTGGAGGATCTAGAGGTTTTTTCAACCTCATGCACGGGTCACTTTGAAGAGACAGATCGTCTCGTGGCTCCAGGGCAGTTTAACGTTACTTTTGAATCCTGAGTCTCCTACCGAGATTATTATGTACATTTAAAGCCCATGACCTCCTAAAAATCTCTGCTCCTGAAAGATGATTTATTGAAATTTATTGTTATATCAAGATGTCAGGAAATAGAAACGCACCTCCAGCCATGCAGCACACTTCATTAATAGAATATATCATGTTCATCGGTTTGAGTCTCGTTCTTCATTAGTGCATCAGTTTGTGTTTGTGCTGTAATTTCATTGATTTTTTAATGTAAAAAGGTCTACAAATAAGTTAAAGAATCATGTTTTATTCTTAAGTCTTGAGACATGACTCATGAGTCATGAGAAATAGTAGATATTGACTATAAGCTTTTTACAGTATAAACAAAACTATCATTTGTTGTTTCTCATTTTTATTTAAAATGTTTATTCTTTTTCCATTGTATGTTTTTCCTCCCTGCAGAGACTGATTGAGGAGGAGAACATGCTTGCTCCTTCACTCCAGCAGTTCTCCTTGCGTGTTGAGATGCTTCCATCATACATTCCTGTCCGAGTGGCTGAAAAAATCCTCTTTGTTGGGGAATCAGTTCAGATGTTTGAGAACCACAACCAGAGTCCATCCAGAGCTGGTAAGAATGCTGATTGAAGGAACCACAGTAATATGTAAAAGTTTGATCATCCCTGGTCAAATGACAAGTGAAAGTATGTTAACACACCCTCTACAGAGAACACACTTAAATATGGCATTGTCTGCCAGTTTTAGTGCACCGTTTCTGTTTATTTGCTGAGTTTAAACATATTGGGAAAAAATAAAGCCTCAAATATAAAATGTGCCATAACTTTTGTAGCCACATTTAAAGTTTATATATTTTCGTCGCATGAATTAAATAAACAGCAATAGTGCATAAATTGAATTGAATAAATTGAATAAAATGAATTTTGTTCTCTGTAGAACAGGGGTGTCAACTTCAACCACTAAAAGGGCCATATTTAAAAATCTCAACAAATCTGTGGGCCAAAGAAAAAAAAATGATTTCGTTTTTAATTAATGTTGTGTTATGACCCGAACTGGGCATTGTTTATTCAAAATACCCAAAAACCTCAGCAGTAAAATAGAGGCACTTGTAGTAGACCTTGAAATAATACATGAATACTTAAAATATTCTAAGTTTAAATGTCCCCAGGAGCTCAGTCTTTTAAACCTACCTGTTTGCTTGAACTAGACACCTGGCATCCTTTCTTTGCTGCAAGTTCATTAAGACTTGGGCTCAATTTCTGAGCTGATGTTAAGTGTTTATACTGGTTAAACTGAGGCTGAATTGCATTTGGTGATATGAATTGTGTAGAACTGAGGTGTAACCACTGTCCTATAGATTGTTGTTGGGGTACGAGAGTCAGAGCTCTTAAAACACTTTTGTGAGCCGGATAGGATTGTGCCTTGTGTTTGACGTGAGCTGTAGAGGATGCATAATTTTCAATTAGAAAATCAATAAAACGTTGTTTTCACCAGGGCTGCCCAAACGATTGCCTGTATTAATTTACAGTGTTTTTCTGTTATCGTTAACTGGAGCCACAGAAAAGTTAAAAATAGCACACTACATGTCTTTATCTGTTTTGAGAATAGGTTTGAACGATGTATTGTTTTCATATCAAAATTACAGTTTGAAAGAATGCAACTTTGAATTCGCAAAACCTTCAGTTTTAATTATATCTTACATTATTCAACATTGTGTTAATGGGTTTTAAATGGGGAAATTTAACACAATAACAGAACTTGTGAACTGGCAGTCTAGAACACAGTTTCAGCTTTGAGTCCAAAAAATGGATGTGCTGGTCTTTTTGGGAAAATAAAAGGCCTGTAGACTCATTTATAGAAAATGATCACAGTTAAATTGCAATCGCAATATTCATCATAAAAACTCAATTAGATATTTTGCCCAAATCGTTCAGGCCTATTGGACAGTGAACTGAAACCCTGACGGTGACCATCTTTGTTAATATCTGTTCTGACGTGCTTGTTACAGGCTCCATACTGAAACACCAAGAGGACATGTTTGCTGCAGAGCTCCACAGACTCAAACAGCAGCCACTTTTCAGCCTGGTGGACTTTGAGAATGTCATAGATGGCATACGAAGCACAGTTGCTGAGGTTGGCTGTGAGACACATTGTGTTTTGGGTGCTGTGTATATAATTGCCCACATGACTAGATTTTTACCCTCATGAACTTTTCTTTTCCACTAATAGCATCTCTGGACTTTGATGGTTGAGGAATCTGACCTTTTGGGACAACTGAAGGTAAACAAGTGGATTTATTGTAAATGTGGTTTAAAAAAACTGAAAGTATTGTTTAATAAGAATCTTTTTTTCTGTTAATAGATCATAAAGGATTTTTATTTGTTGGGACGTGGTGAACTGTACCAAGTCTTCATTGATCTTGCTCAGCATATGCTTAAAACTCCTCCGTCAGCTGTGACAGAACATGGTATTAATCGGTTTCTGTTTTATTTTAAGCAAAAACTTCTGATGAAATAGCAAAAATGAACAATTAATAATCAATCAACGTTTGACACTTTTTTCTTGCAGATGTCAATGTGGCCTTCCAGCAAGCAGCTCATAAGGTTCTCCTTGATGATGACAACCTGTTGCCTCTCTTGCATCTCACCATTGACTATCAAGGGAAAGACGCCAAAGGTATTAGCCACCAAATTTCTACTTTTTGTGCTGATTTAGCACAAGCTCCCTTACATGTTCACTGTAAATGTTTAGGAGAAGCTCATATTCATAACCCCAGTTTGCACAGACCACACTGAATGAAAATAAATCACTGAATCTGATATGTTTTTCCCTTTAGATATCAAATGAAAGGCATATAGCGCCACTTACTGGTCACAGTCAGAATTCTCTTTAATATTCCTATTTTCATTTTTTCTCTTATATAATTGGAAGGAAGGCATGTCTCGTTTTTGGTGAATGCTGACCTCATGAAGATTAATCAGTCATAATAAGACACAGCTTATGTTTTCATTTCCTTATTCATATTCTGATGGAAATAGAAAGCTATGCATTTACAATCCCTGGTTCATATGCTAAACTGGCCAAGATGTCCCAGCAATTCCACGTCAAATATTTAAGCAGAAGAAAACTGAAGCCAGTCATGCCATCACAGAATTCATGAATGGAGAAAATTTATACTGCGGCTGTTTTTCTCTATGGAGAAACTACAAAACCACTCTTTTTCTACCAGCCACTGCAATGACCGCATACCTGTGCTTGCAGAGGCTTCTGGGAATCGAGAGGGCACCACGCCTCCTCAGGAGTCTTCTCCTCGAGAGGCCCCGTCCACAGGCTGGGCGGCACTGGGATTGGCCTACAAGGTGCAGTGGCCACTGCACATTCTCTTCACTCCTGCTGTGCTGGAAAAGTAAGTCGAGCATAAAGAGCTGCTGCAACTGATGCAGTAAAAGATTCAATAAAGTATAGAGATGCACTAATATGGGAAATGTAGTTTCATGACCATATTCAATACATTTCATGTGTTGATGCATCGTTTAATGTATCACGTATTGTTTGTGTATTGATGCTGATACATAAACATTTACTAAATGTAGAAATTGGGACTGGACATACTTAAATTAGCAGTACAGAGAAATATGATATGTATTTTTATAGGGCTACAAATGCAGTAAAATGAATAAAATGCTGATATTTTAGCACAGTAACTCAGTGTAACCCAGTATTATTGTGCTTCTTTACTGTATTCAGCACAACCTTAAGTGGACACAGGGGGTCATTTCTGATTCATCTAGCATTGCATTTTTTCACCTAACTCCTTCAGGGAGGTGCTGCAGGTCTTTAAAACCAAGACATTTCAGGAAATGTTTTCCCCATTATAATAAAGTAGTAGTGCTCGCGCTGCCGCTTCACTTACGCCACGCTGGGGCAGCATGTGTGAATCAGACATTAGAGAGACGCAGAGCCTTCAGTCCATGGCCACAGCTGCCCAGTAAAACGCCAAAAATAACTGCTCTGTGGTTTAATTCCTGCTTTGAGTTTACTGGGAATGAATGGCGTTTGGTGATGTTACTCACAGTGAGCCTGATGACCGTGACTGCCGTGTTATTTCTGCAGAAGATAATGTATTTGTGAATAGACTGTGTCAGAAGTTGGATGTGCGTGGGACTGGGCGGGCGGGAGCAGGAGAAATGATTCCGATTTTTTGCAGGAGCGGGAGGGAGCAGGACTGAAAGAACAGACGTCTAGTTACAACAAACGTGTAGCAATAAAATTATCTGTCTGTCTATCTATATATCTATTTATCTATCTATCTGTAATGGTTCATTCAATTTTGTTTGTGTATTCCTGTTACTCCAGGTACAATGTAGTGTTTCGTTACCTGCTCAGTGTGCGTCGGGTTCAGTCTGAGCTTCAGCACTGCTGGGCTCTGCAGATGCAGCGGAAGCACTTAAAGTCAAACCAGACGGATGCAGTCAAATGGAGACTGCGCAACCACATGGCCTTCCTGGTAGATAACCTGCAGTATTACCTACAGGTATTATCCTACAGACAGGGCAGTTATCTTTTAAAAAACCTTACATTTTTATTTGTTGGTTTTTTCACTCATTTATTGTCCTTGCAATTTAATTCCCCAAACAGGTGGACGTGCTGGAGTCCCAGTTTTCACAGCTCTTGCAGCAGATCAACTCTACACGAGACTTTGAGAGCATTCGGCTGGCTCATGACCATTTCCTCAGTAATCTCCTAGCCCAGTCCTTCATCCTGCTCAAGCCAGTATGTGACCTACTGCAGATTTAATATTGACCACCATCCATATGTTGTGAAGGAAATTTAAAAAATGTACTTTTTTCATTTTCGCAGGTGTTTCACTGTTTGAATGAGATTCTGGATCTGTGTCACAACTTTTGTTCACTAGTGAGTCAGAATCTGGGGCCACTGGATGAGAGAGGAGCAGCTCAGCTGGACATTATGGTCAAGGTTAGCCAGTTGAGCCACTATTACTGTTTTCTGGAACGTAAAAATGCATCACTGCATTGAATTTGGAATGTCAATCTAATACTATTTAGTACAACATATGATTTGTTTTCAAGTGTAAAAACTTCTTTAAAAAAGGCTCAAGTTTGGTGCAATTGCATTCAGTATATTTAGTCTATATTTAACTGTATTGATCTTCCTGGTCAAATGACGTTTTGTTGATTTTCTATGTAAAAATAAGTTAACACATCCTCACACTTAAATATGCTGTTTTTCTCCACATTTTTGTGCACAATTTCTGTTTATTTGCCGAGTTTAAAACACTGGGAAAAAATAAAACTGAAAAAAATGAAATATATATGAATATAAAATATGAAGTGTGCTGTAGTCCACATTGTTTATTTACTTTGCGGCCCACTTATGGATGTGAATTTGTTTTCACAGAAAATCAACAAAATATGTGGAAAAAAATTCAAATTGTACCAAAGTAAATCAAACCGAGTCATAAACTTGAGATTTCTTGATGCTTTGAATTGTTTCATAAGGAATCATAATCAGATTGATAGCTTTATGATCTTTACTATGAAACGGTCATTTAAGATACTGGGAAGTTATTTCTGAAACCAGTTCAACTAAGCCTATGTAACATCAGTGTAAAATACTCCCGTCTCTTAAATTCACAGGGTTTTAGCCGCCAGTCGTTCCTGCTGTTTAAGATCCTGTCCAGTGTGCGTAACCACCAAATTAATTCTGATCTGGCTCAGCTGCTCCTGCGACTAGACTACAACAAATACTACACACAGTCTGGAGGCACTCTGGGAAGGTAGGTGTGGTAAAGTTAGTTTGAAGTCTGTAAATGAAAACCACAGACATCAAACACATTTTCCTTTTTCCCTTGCAGTTTTGGGCTCTAAGACTGAACCTGGAGGACTCAATCCAAGTGTTCTTGGCAGACACTGGTGAACAAAGTGTAATATGAAGAGGCCAAATATGTAATAAGGCAGAGGTCATTTACTTTGTGTTGTAAATATGACTTGTCTTAGTGTGGATGGCATTTTTCCTTGAAATGACCTTCAGTTGTATAATACTGTTGTAAATACTGTTTGGTGCTTCTGTTCCTCCCTGAATTGTAAAATAAAGCTAACCAGAAAAAGAAACACACAGTTTTTATTACTTCATAAAAACAGAGCTTAAAACTATATACAGTAAAAGGCAGGCATGCACTAAAACAGACAAGGACGTTTAAAAGACAGGAGTCGGGTCGAAGGGGCGCCGCTTAAGGAGAGCGGTCATGACGGTACTCGGGTTGACTGTCATAGGCCAGACATTCTCCACAGATCACGCTCTGAATCAGCCACTCCAGGGACACCACCGGAGTCTCAGCAGTCGTGGCAGACTTCAGCACCTCGGGAGGACACGGGTGTGCCGACACCACCACATCAAACTTCTCAGCTGGAACATCTGCCCACAAGCACAAAGGACACTGTGTGAGATGTGAAACACTGAGAACTGCACAGTTTCTGGGCTGAAATCCTCTCTCCTATTTGAGAATGACGCTAAAATGCCAATTACAGTTCGGACGTGGCCTCAAATTTAAAGGAAAAGGGAATTTTCGGGAAGGAACCATGTAAAAATGAGTAAAAAAAAAAAGAAAAAGAAATAAATAAAATGCCCTTTTGTTACATAAAGAACACTAGTTGCCCATAGCCTACTGTTTGACAGAGGCTAGAAATAAAATATTAATAGAAATCCTGAATAAAACTGAACTACATGTTCATTAAAGGGCCCATATCCTACCTTTTCTTGTGTATTATATTTCCGCTCTGGGGTCCACTTGAAATTTGTGACTTTATGTATTCAAAACAGCCATAATTCATATTCCAAACTCTCTGTATCCCTCAGAATTGAACAGGCTGTTTATTTCTGTGCCTTTAAGACTGATGTATGTAAATGAGCTCTGTTCTGATTGACACAATACAGGGCAACTGTTCAGTAAGCAATCAAAGCAGAAGTGCTCTGTCTAACTTCATGAATCAGCAGCCTTCTTTAGGTTGTTTACTCAGGCATCTGTACATGAGTTTTTGTGACATCACATGACTTCACATCAGGCTGTTTTGCAGCTTTGTGGTGAACTGTACACCTACAAACTAAACATTCACATACAACAACAGACTTGTAAAAAAATAAAATAAAATAAAAAATAAAAAAAAGGTGTCTATGATATGGGCCCTTTAAAACAACAGAGCACTACCTACCTGCACTGTTGCCATTTGTTTTATGTTGATGGACCTTCGTTGCTCCACACATGGTAAGCATAGATGTCCACAAATCTACACCATCTTCTGAAATCAGCAGGACCTTCAGAGCTTTAAAAGGGCTGCAGCGTGAATGCCTGTGGACAGTGAAGAAAATGTATGCCTGGATGTTTCAACTGAATATCCGAAAACCATCTCAGAAGCATTTACCACATTATCGATCCTTTACCATTCTACGATTCGTTTCTCCGGCCCCAGGCCTGCAGGTAGTAGGTAGTTTCTGTAATTCATGAGCTTCTTTTCCTGGCAGCAGTCTCTGACCCAGACCTGAGAGACACAGGGAATCCCACCTGCCACGCACAGCAGGTACGTCCTGGTGCGGCAATGCTGATCCGCTATCAGCAGACTCTGATAGGCTGCTTTACACTGAACAAAAACAAGCATTTGGAAGAGACTTCATATGCTGCAGAAATGTTTTTAAGGAAGTGGTAATTAAAGTTATTACAGGTTCCAAATGAAGTCTTACCTGCTCTTCATTAAACTCAGGGAGGATCATTCCTCCCCCGGCCTCCAGCTGTCTCTCAGTGTAGCGTTTATTATACGGGGCTGTCTGCACATAATCTAATGACAAAAGAGGACACAAATTTTTATAATGCTCACAAAGTATGATCTGCATTAGTGCCCGTTTCATTCAGACAGAAAATCAAATATGACTTTTCAACATCTTAAATACTAAATAATAGTTATCATCCTCCTATAACTTGTATGAACAATATTTCTGCACAATAAAGAAAATAAGTAAAGCCAAGAAGTCCTGAATACTGCAGCAAACCTTAATATGCTTTAATATACCAGCAATTTCTTCCACCAAAAAGTAGCAGCCTTTTGTGTTACAGATAAAACTGTAACTGTACAGCCATAAAACTGTTGCAGTATCAGGTTCAGCTCAGCTTTTTTTAGTATTTGCCCCAGTAACCAGAATGTTGTTTTGTTCCAGCTGGTCCATAGAGAATTTAATAGCCCTTGTTTCCCAAATTGTATCCTGTTCATCTCTATATATGCATTATTATTATTATTATTAGCTACTCTGTTTTTTTGCACAACTTTTGAGTATTATGTATTATGTTTTCCACCCTTTTTATTAAATTAGCCACATGGTAGTGTTTTTTTTCACAGGCTATGGAGTTTTAGGCGTTCTGCTTCACACCGTGCCTAATTAATACCCTTACTCGTGATAAAATCAGTGTAACGCATGGCCCGACTGCTTTATTTTACACTGTTTAAATTTTTTTTATTCTATTTTAAAACTAAGACTTTAGTATCAACAGGAAACCTATAAAATTATTTGGATGGCTTTTTAAAAGGACGGGGCCTCTCGAGAAGACTCCCAGGAGGCGTGGTCCCCTTCTGATTCCCAGAAGCTTCTGTAAACTACCATCTAATTTGCAAAAAATTATCCATCCACCGAAAGCTTCTTCAGGGAAGTGGTTCTTCTATGTTTATCACTCCACCTTTATTTTTCCAAACTGTGGTCATAAGCAGTCGTTGGAAAGCCTTCCTCCTCTTACTCTCACCTTCCTCGCCATCACTGGTCGTCTGGTTGGACTCCCTGTCGTTCTCTGAGGAGGCAGTCAGCATGAAAACGAACCCCATAAAGAGATCTGCACTCTCTGGAAGAGGGCCATGGGTCACCAGCAGGTCATTCGGGTCAGAAGGCAGCTCAGCACCACTCCCAGACGTATTACACGCCGCCATTCGCGAGCCTAAACACGCGAATGACAAAGGAATGAGGAACATCCTACCTGCCTTTTAGAACACTATAAACCCTGACCTCATATTCAGAGCTAGAAACAAACAGCAGAGGATGCAGAATAAAAGCAACCACCACCATGTGAGGAGATACGGACACCAACTCCATCTGCCTCACCAAGTGCTCCCAAAAAGTAAACAAATCAGTAACGTACCAATGTCCATAAGAGAACAGGATCTGCAGCTCATTGTAAGAAAAGGGATCTTGATTCACAATTTTTTTTTAAGGTTTATCACAAATTTATGATGTACAATACATGAGAGGTTTGTTAAAACAGAAAATTGTCTCAACAATCTTTCTCTCAGCCTTTCACAATGCTATTAAGAGTGGGGACGGGGGTCATTATGTTGCTTTAAAACAGAATAAAACATTTAAAAGCAACCAGTTCATACTTACTAAAAATGCAGGTATATCATAAAACATAAAAACATAATATGGATGTAAAATCACAAAGCTATTACAAAAAACAGCAGAAACTGTAAGACGTCCTTAAGGTCAGGCTGTTCTGCTGAAGATGTGCATCTTTAATCTTTGTCCAAACAGAGCACGGCGCCCGTACCCGCTCTGGCCCCGCCCCCTCTGCGCCCTCTCTTCGAAGGGGTCCTCTCGTCCTCTGTGGAGCTCGCGAGTTTCCTTTTCCCCGGCGTCCGTGGGCTGTTTGTGGCGCTGCGGGTTGGGGTTCCTGTCTCAGTCCCGTTCCCTCGTCGTCTCCGTTTTCCCTCCACCAAGTTATCTAAAGACAGAGCACGTTCTGTTAGCACAAATTTAGGGCTGCACAATATATTGTCTGTTGATTGTCATCTCTATATCAGCCTTTGCAATACTGATATCGCAGAAGGCTGCAAGAGAGCCTTCAAACCAATCACAACGTTTATCTGCGCCTCATTTATTCTGACCAATCACATTTCCAGATGAGTGTTCATGTGGGTGCTTTCAAATATCAAGTGTGTTCATGTAATCCAATATAAGTCAATGGTTTTTGTGCGTTTTGAAATTAGCCTAATAGTTAAGTTATTCATACCCCACATGGGAGATCAGGGTTCAATCCCAGTGCAGAGGACCACTCACTACCCTTCCAACAGCGTGCACTGGCAATGTAATGGTGTCTCTCTGATGCTGTTCTGTCATCTCAGATGTGTTTATTGCAGAAACTCAATAAAAATCGCGATACTGATAAAATACAATTTATCGTGCAGCCCAAGCCCTCATATACACACACAGCATGTTTTTGTTTAGTCAAACAGGCACGTTTAACAAAAGTATATGCAGGAGGTCACTCACCAAGGCTGATATCAGAGGCCATGGTCTGGGGTGTGGATGGTTCGTATGGCCCGAGACCAAACTGCTCCCTCAGGCGGCTGCCTTGCTCCATGGTGAGAATCACAGCAGTCCTGCTGTACCACGTAATCTGGCCATCCTTCTCCACACAATACAGCAACTCTGAGCCTTGAAACTTATGGCCCTTTACTAGACCTGTCACACCAACACACAGACACACAAGAGTTCAGCCTTCAGAGCCTTTTATTTAACCCTTGTGTGGTGTTCAGGTCTGTGGGACCAGTTTTCAATGTTTACCGAAAGAAAAAATGATGCGATTTATTATTTCAACCTCAGATTTCTTGGCCTTTGCTCATTTTTTGTGAAGAACATATAAAATAACACATTTTAAATGACTTCACACCGAACACATTTATAATAAACGTGGTGTTGGGGTGAACCCGATATTTCAGTGTAGGCTGGTTTGATGCTCTGCATTCATTTTAGTACACTACTGAAATGAATCATGCAAAATCAGGTCTTTAATTTGATGGCAATGTATTGGCCATTTAGTGGTGTATAGTGTCGGGTGGTGCACTGCAAGTAAGCGGGTATACAATATAGCAATTATCAATCTTTCAGCATCGTTACAGCTGAATAGTCACCTTTACATCACTTCACTACGACACACTGCCGCGTTTGTTCACCCCTAATGTTGATAAGCCAGTCCCTATAATTAGTGTCCTATTCATAGCTAAATGACTTCCGACTCAAAGCAGAGTTTCAGACCCCACAGCCCTTTACCTGTATTGAAGTAGTCCTCCTCCGTCAGTGCTGTGACCTCCGTCTCCATGGGGATGGGGTCACACAGTAGGATGTCCTTGCCCTGCACCTCACATTCCTGGTTGTCGTCGAACAGCAGCCGGAAGCGGCTCTCGCCCAAGTCCCGAGTGATGGTCCCAGAGTAGAAGAAGGAGTTGGATGACCACTTGGCCATCACGCGCAGCCCCACAAAGCTGCTGGCCCCACCGCTGTTCTCTGAGGACGTTGTGTTGAGGGAGTCTGAGCGGCTGGTGGCGCTGCGGGCCAGCGGGCTGCCCGGGACACGAGCATTCAAACGGGTAAAGGGTTCCTCCTCGGAAGAAGACACGGCCTGGCCATGGCCACCACCTCTCTGCCCTGACCGTCCACCTCTGAGAGAAACCAGCAGATGGCATCAGCGAGAGCGATGGTGGTAACATACGGCACTATACTCTGTTAAAAGTCTGGGGACACCGAGCTTCTCAAAAATGTTTAGGGAAAAAAGATTCTCTTTGTCGGTTTCTTATTTCAGAGCTGGAGCTACGAGGCTAACAATGCTAACAAGCAGTAAAAGTCATTCAAATGTGTTTGTTAAGTACATCACCAAAACTTCTCTCAACCTGCATAGAGGTTATTGGTCAGGTTGTCAATGTGGTTTAGGACAAATTATGACCCCCCACAGAATCTGACACCCCTTGACGTACGCAAGTCACATCGGCTAATAGATGCTAGATTACATTTTGATTTCTGTCTTTTCTATTCTACGCAGAGGAATTTTCAAAAAAAATATTTTTCCATTCAGTTAGAAAATTCTCAACAGTTATTTATAAAAGGAATGAGCACAAAAGTGCATTCATGATGATCTCCATGGACAATCCACACCACATCCACACCTTAAACAGACTCACTCTGATCTTTAAGAGTAACTACAGCAAATCTATAATCTAATCTAATCCAGAACACACACACACACACACACACACACACACACACACACACACACACACACACACACACACACACACACACACACACACACACACACACACACACACACACACACACACACAAACCATATATAGGGTTGGTATAGTGTAGTGGGTAAACATCTGCCTTCTAGACTGGGGTTCAATCCCCGCCTGGGTAAGCACCCTAAACTATATCAATATATTCATTCTACTCCCTGTATATATTTTCTCTACTCCCTGTATACCCTGTGCCTTAATTATCTATTTAAGTACTACAAGCGGGCTATGCACCTAAGATTTTCACTTACCTGTGTTAATGTGACGTGACAAGCATGATTTGATTGTATTTAAAAGAGCAGTCGGATCATCAAGTCTGCATGACATCATTTGAGTGGGTTGAGAGAAGTTTTGGGGACATATTCACGTAAAAGGTTTGGGTGACTATAGAGTTCTAATGATTATTAGTAAAGTTAGCCTCATAGCTTCAGTGCTAAACTAAAGAACCAAAGTTTGGACACCAAACATGTCTTGGCTGATAAACCACATCTCAGGTAAGGGACAAACTGTGTAAATTAAATTTTTTTGCCTAAACTTTCCTTTAAGACATCAAAGATCACCCAGGTTTATTTTGAGGAAAATGCTATTGCATGTAAATATTTGACAGCACTGCCTTGGCAATAACGGCAAACTCCACCCATTACATCCCCTTATTATTTCAAAATTCATCATGTATTTTTAAACAAGTTTGGAAAAGTGTTTTTAAAACATGGAAACCAAGGAAAACACTTTGGGCGTAGGCATGAAGCAGAGTGTTGCCAAATATATTAAATAAGAACAACTATCTGTTCTATATTAACAAATCCATTTTCACTGAATTGAGAAGCAACAGTGAGAAAATTAATTTTCAAAGGAAGGCAAGGTGCCCCAAAACTTTTGACAGGAGTTGTACACATTCTACTAAAAGAGAGTGGTGGGTGAAAGAAGGGTTAGTGAGACTTTGTACAGAGAGTACTACTACAACAACAACATCTCTATGGTGCAGGAAGAAAAGGATGTTAACAGAGGTGTTTGTGTGTAAGCACTTGGTTAAGTGGGTGGTTGTGGTGACTGTGAGGACCCTGCTGGCAGAGCACCCTCACCTGGGGCTGCGCGAGGGAGGCCGTCCACGCCGGGCGTGACCACGGGGGCTCAACGGGGCAGCGACCGGAGAGCCCCATGCTACCGTGACCTCTGACCCCACTGCCACACCGGCCCTCAGCTGCTGTCTACCCCCTCTCCTAGGGCTGAGGACACACAAACGGACAGAGAGCGGTCAGCGGACACGCCCTTAGCCAGCCAGTGTACAGCAGCAGCAGTGGGGAGGGGAGCCGTGTTGGCTGTTTCGTATGTGTCTATTATGTGAATTTGCAATGTGCGAGTAGAGAGGAAGCGCACAGACAGAGACACTGGCAGCTGCATGCATGCTCAGGGTAAGTATTTATGAGTGGAAGAACGCACTGATGTGGAGTGCTCATTTTAGGAATGTTAGAATTGATTCTGATTGACATTCATTAAAAGTATGCCCGTTTTTTTTTTTTGAAAAGGAATGAAAATTTATACTCTGTAGATTAACCAGTGTTAACGCTGCGCTTTTCTGTGACGTGGTATATCTACTCTCCATCTGCTGCTGGATTTTATAATTCAGTCATCTCATTACTTTTAAAATATGGGAACATATGAGCTAATTTGCATATCAAAAATGTGATTTTTACAACTTTCATGACTATTCAAAATCTCAAAATTCTCATCCCTCGTTCCTATTAAAGTCCAATTTCAGTCAATACTTTAATAATTCAGTTTCAGTACTTTCTTTCTCTACAGTACCTTTATAAGAGCTTAAGAAATGGATCAAGCAAAAACTGCAAGAAGAAGCCAGTTCATTTGGGTGGCTGTATTTATGCATGCACACAAATTTTAGTAGACAGCATGAATAGGACATACAGTGAATAGTTAGTGTTAGTGAAAGGTCATGCAGAAGTCACAGAAAACTCCACATTTCCACGAGGACTCACCTGCCAGACTTGGCTCCACGGCTAGAAGGCATGACAAAGTCAGGCATCCTGCTGGGACCCAGCCCTGTACTGCTGGTCCCGCTGGAGCTGTGGTGGGACAGGGCCTTGGACGAGAGCGAGCTGACATCCGCCAAATCTCCTGAGGTCATGGAGCTTCCTGTACGAGATGGGGAGATATCACTGTCCACAACACAACGATCCACCACCGGCTCCTCAGACTCCTGGCGAAGAAAAGTTTATAAGAATACAGGATTGTTAAGGAGAAGAGTAGCTCAATATAGAGTTTTTATTAACTGCAACTGCAGAAGCACAAGTGTGTACAATGCTGAAGTTGCAGCTGGCTTCTAAGTAAATAAATGAATAAATTAAAGCTTCTGTAGGCATTTTGATGAACCCATGTTTTCATGTAATCCAACAAAAGGCTGCTCTTTTTGATTTGAATTAAATACTGTGAAGTGGAATATGCAGCAACACAAAAGCAACAGTAGCATTTTATCCATACCAAGTAAGAACTTTTCTCACACAGCTCTCAACAGTTAAAATGTCTCGTAAGTTCTGTTCACGTTCTCAAAGCTCAAAACAACTCTCAAGGTTTTCGTGAAGGTGCTGGATGTGTTCCTCACCTCAACAACTTTTCGGTCCACCTCCTTGCCGTCTTCATAGTACACGTCAGTTATAATGCGGGTAATGGTTGTGCGCACTTCCTGAATGGTACGGACATGCCTGCGGTGAGAAGGCCCCGGCTGGGAGCGCGTCGGAGTGACTGGCTCCCCCTTTAAAAAAGGAACATGAGAGAAAACACTAATGCTCTAGTCGAGCTTGTTGGTACACTATTTTGTCTAGCGTTGACCATCTTTATACAAGGGCTGCAAAGATGTCAGTTATACGAGAGGAAAAAACACTTAAAGGGCCCACATCCTCCATTTTTAAAGCATTTTATTTTAATAAGATTCATATCCACAACATTTGTGTGGGCTTATGCACCAAAAAGTCATAATTCATTTGTACAAGAACACAATCCTTATAACTTCAACATGACTGGGTGGGGCTAAACTGCTGTAGGATGAAGAGATGGATATGTAAAAGGGCTGCCTTTTGTGACATCACAAAATCCATTAATTCAAAACAGGCTGTTTTTGCAACCGAGTTACTAAGTATGGTCTGTATATATGGACTGGGGAGGGATGTTTACATTCAAAGTCTTATTTCAAAAAAGTGAGGAAAATTTGGTTGTCCAAGACAAAAAAACCCTTTAAAAACAAAAGCACTAACACACAATAAGAAGCGCTATTATAACACTGCTTTTTACATTGGAGATACTTTTAATAATGGTATCATTGTGAGAGGAAACCACAGATGGCACCATAATTCAATTAGCTGATAAATGAAATAACAGATAGATAAACAATTATAGATTTAATTGTCAGTTATAAGGCAAGTATCTAAAACTTAATACAATGCTTTTAGGAAGTGGGGGGCAGTGAAATCCTGATTTGACTTGTCGTATGTGAATCAAACATACAGAAAAGTAAATAAGTTATTATAATAATAATATATTAGAATAATTATTATTATTTTCTGTCATATCTTAGGGAAAAGAACATAAACGAAAGCAGGGGGGACACATTAGCTATTACTTTGTGAAGTCCCACTGCCTGACGCCTCACTTACCCTGCCTGATGATCCCTGTGGTCCAGAAGCATCAAAGCTGGTCTGCTGAGACACAGCTCTCTGTTGGAGCTTTAAAAAAAAATAAATAAAAATAAAATACATAAATAAATATTTACTTTCATTAATTCATCACTGATATGATTAAAAAGCCTTACTTTGCCTTGAAATGTCTTACTTTGCTGAGAGGGCTTGGTGTTGACGGCAAGTCAAAGCTGGTTTGCTGAGACACAGCCTTCTGTCTCATAGGTGTCCTGTACTGTGCCTGTCCAGAAGTGCTGGGGGCGTCCTGCTCATTACCTGCAGAGGGCTGCACTTCAGCCAGAGGGGTGGCCAGAGGTTCTGAGTCCACAGCTGTGCCGTTGGGCTGCGACGGCTGATGAGCAGCATCACCGAGTCCATCTGCTGTACCGTTACGTACTGCCTCCAGGGGGCGCTCAGGTGAAAGCCCAGAGCCGGCACTGCTAGGGAGACTGTGGACAGTCTGGCTCTGACATCTTGTGGATGTGGAGGGAGGACAAATATACAAAGATGGAAAGACGTAAAAGCTCACATCAGAACCGAAGACAAAACAGGTTAATATTAAATATACTGAAAAAGAATATAAAGTCATCGATTTGTTTTACTCCCACTTTGCAGCAGTTTGATAAAAATAATAATAAAAATAAATAAATAAATAAATAAAAAAGAAATCCAGGATTTTTCCTAGAAATGCGTCAGGCTACTACAGGCAAACAGTGGTCAGACACTATGTGGTGAATTCAGTTTCATGACTCAACCTGTTTTTTTGGGGCTTCAGTTAAAAAAAATAAAATAAATAAAAAATAAAAGAATTAAAAAGTTTATTGTTTTGATCAGTATAGATTATATCTATGTCTGCAACAAATACTCAAAATTCTCTAAATTAATAACTGAATAAATGAAATAACTCAAAGACATAAATCATAAATACTTTCTCCGCAGAAACGGAGGTGAAGGAACATTTTTCCCACCATACGCGGATTAGGTTGGGGCTGCAAATGCAGTGACCTATAGACTAAGAAAGTATTCAAGATAGCATTTAAACGGTAGAATAAAAAAATAATAATTTGGGGAAAAAAAAAAAACCTGCAAAAAAATGACTGCAAAATACCAAATTTATCAAACGTTTACTGACTTGTCCTTCTGCCTATACCCGAAATGATAAGAACTGAAAAAGGAGAGGGCCTTGAAGAAAAGCCTTACATCAACCTAAAATAAGCAGCACGGCTCCGCCACCCATTCTCTCTGTTGGCTCTGGCCCAGAATAGCCTCCTGATGAGCACCTTTGATGGTGGAAGTAGGGCATACTACTACTCTGCCCAAGTAAACGGGGCACTAGCAAACCCACTTAATGCCTTCCCAAAATACTCTCTACTGAGGGAGCTTTATTTATAGCCTCCACAAAAAAAAACTCCCAAGGTCACACTGGAGGAAAGCAGTTTGTAGTTCTGCAGGTTCTCATCCATTGGGCTATAAGCGATGTCAAAGCATCTATGGACATTATGGCATTAAAGGGCCCATATCATGGAAATCCACATTTTCCTCACTTTTTTGAAATGAGTTATGTAGCGTATAAACACTTAGTTTCAAAATGTACAGTTCACTCCCCATTCCTTATGGTCCATTTACATAAAAAAGCTGGAAAAAAAAAAACACGCATTCTGAATTAATTGGTTTTGTGTAATTACAAAAATCAATAAATTTTGTCCAGATACAGTACAACATGGCCAACAGAGCTACTTCATCTATCATCTACCTATCTATCTATCTATACACACACACACACACACACACACACACAGAGAGACATTTCATATATCTCATACATATACTTATGGCTGTTGTTGGTATAAAAAACAATGCAAATGCTGCAAGTAGTGGTCAGAGGATAAAATGTGTCATATGGGCCCTTTAATATTTAAAAAATCCCATCAAAGGTCTACAATGATGAAATGTTTAATCTCCAATGATGCTGTAAGAAAGAGGTGCACTGAAAGTAGTATTTCTGTGGAAAAGAGAAGCACCTGATAGGCAGACCAGTGGATTCCTTTTCCTCTTCTGCATGCAGCTGCCTGTGAACCTCTCGAACTCTGCTAAAGACGGACGGACTACAGAACAGATGAAACGGTACAAAAAAAATGCTTAAAATACACATCCATGTCATTGTCCATATACTGACACTACAGTTTCATACTGGCATCTACTCCCAGTGTTAATTCAATCTTCACAATCACAATGTACATGCAATTAATTACCCCATTTTTTTTCAGTCTGTTAATTTACATTTTAAATCTTGAAGACAATAACGCCACTGGCTGCGCAGTAATGAGCTGGTCTTTATTTCAGGAATGTGCTAAAGCATTAAGCGGCGATGAATCAGCAGCTGTGAGAACGGAGAAAAAGGACTCAGAGCCCACACTCACACAAATGAGCTTTCTTGCATAGCAACCGTTCCACGTTACCTGGTTACAGCCTTGGCAACAGTGGTAGCCTTGGAGACAGAGCCTTCCTCGTCTGATAATGGTGGTTCTGGGAAGGCATTACAAAAATCACACTTAAAAATGGGAAAAGGTGCCTATCAGTCATTGTGAGTACAGTACTGGATAAAAATAACTGAAATCAATATAAATATATAATAAAAAGAAAGATTTACCCTGAGTGAAATAAAATCAGTGGTATTTCTTATTCTTACAGAATTGATGACTGAATGCTGCTATATGTAAGATGAATGGCAGGAAAACATACAAGAGACAGAGAGAGAGGGAGAGAGAAATAAGAGGAAAGAGAGCGATAAGAGGAGAGAGAGACACAGGAGAGCAAGAGATAAGGAAAGAAAATGGGGGGAGAGAGAGAGAGAGAGAGAGAGAGCAGGATGAAAGATGACAGAGAGAAGGGGAGGGAGAGCACTGAAGGAGAGTGAGACAAAAAGAGAAAGGTATGATAAAGGACAGAAGGCTGAGAGAGAGAGAGCTAAAGATGAGGAGAGAGAGAGAGAGAGAGAGAGAGAGAGAGAGAGAGAGAGAGAGAGAGATATAGGAGAGAACTAAAGATGAAGAGAGAGAGAAAGAGAGAACTAAAGATGAAGAGAGAGAGAAAGAGAGAGAAAGAGAGAGAGAGAGAGAGAGAGAGAGAGAGAGAGAGAGAGAGAGAGAGAGAGAGAGTTGAAAATGAAATAGTGAGGGGAAAACCAGGCGTACACCGAAAAGAATGAGCTCTTACTCTGTAGGCTGAAGCGGTCAGATCCCGAGCTGCCCTCCTCCACAGGGGTAATCACTTTCATCCTGAGACTCAGTTTCCCATCACCCCCCTCAGCGGCCGGCTCCTCTCCTTCTCTACTGTCCTCCACAGAGATCTCGCTGGCCGCCATCGTTGTCTCCCTGGTAACGTCGCCCTCCGACGGCTCCCGGAACGAACTCATTTCTGCAAAATGCAAAAATAAAAACTAAAAAAACATTTGAAATAACATCAACAGCAGGGAATCTACAGCAAGGTTAGCGACAGAGGGAGTGTCTGTGTATGTGTGTGCATAGGCGTAATGGGTTTATTGCATGCCGTCTCCTCTGAATGGCTTCCTAACATTTGCAATCAGATATTAGAATGCTATACAACAACAAGCACGCCCACCGATAGGAGTGCTGTGGAGTGGCGTGTTTTTCAGCTGTCTGATGTGCGGGGGAGTCGTGCTCACTGCAGCCCCGATCAGCTCCCCCTCTCTGGGCAGCGTGAAGTGGAACGGAATATCTGCGGGGCCAGAAATAATGCAAAAGGAACACAATCCGTCAGGCTACCCGTTATATAACAACCAGAGAGAATAGATCATTTATTTCGGCCGCTAATCCTACCTCCAGAGCTGTCACTCAGGCTTTTGTTGGCCGCATTGTCGGCACTTGGGTTCTCCGACCCTCTACCGGGTTTGGCATCAGTAGCCTTAGTGTTCTGCGGGCCAGATAACGCGGCCTGGTCCGAGCTGCCCGGCTGGGAGCTTGTGACCTTCCTGCCAGGCTCCGATGTCCCCTTCGGAGAGCTTCTCACAGGTTGTGAGGCACTTTTAAATGGTTGTGACCTCATGGGCTTCTCTTTATTCTCTTGAGACACTCTCTGGCTCTCCTCCAGCACCATAATGCTGAAGCTCTCCTCACCTTTGCTTGTTACTGGTTGGGAGAGGATTTCTCCTTCCTCCTCCATAGGCTCTGGAGAGCCAACTTGGCTCTGGGTAAGTGCCAGTCCAAGCCCAAAAGAACTTTCAGTCCTACTGGTGCTTTGGTTCACACCTTCATCCATTTTCTCCTCTTCTTCATCATCCACATCTTCAGCATCATTAGTACTGTCCAGCCTGTGGCTCTGAGACATGGGCTGACTCAGCTTCTGCTCTTCCTCAGTATTTCTAATACTGTTAAGTGTGTGGCTCTGAGACACTGGCTGGCTGGAGCCTCCTTGTTCTCCTTCATTTGCAGCATCCTTCTGGGAAGATACGCCAGATCGGGAGAGGGACTTCGACGGTACGCTAACAGCAGAGGAGCTAGCAGGTCCTCCAGCTGGTGGTACACTCTGTGAACAGCTGCTGGCCATCAGATCTTTACTCAACGCACCTCTGTCCATCTGCTGGGATAGTGGGGAGTTCAGAACGCGCTGAGCCTCCTGAGACTGCTGAGAGTCAGCCACACTGTTGCTTACATTCACGTTCTGTCCATTTGCAGACTGTGAGAGCCGCTTTTGAGAGGAGGTACTTTCCTCATTCTTTCCACATGAGGCATGTGTACCTTTTGGGTCAGACTCCTGGGAAATCTGCTGCGAATTAGCACTTTTACTAAGGCCCAAGTCCGAACTGTTTTTGCCTGCCTTTTCATTGCAATGTGCAGGACCAGAGTCACTCTTATCCACTCCTACCGTTGCCTCGATTTCCTCTATCTGTGTGGCCTGACTGTCATCATCTACCGTAAACACTTGAGTCTTCTTTTCAAAAACACTATTTTCACTGTTATTGAGCCCCAACTGGAGAGACGCGGCCGCTTCAGAAGGCTGGCTCTCGGACGATTTTTTTGTTTCTGCATCAAGTGTTGTAGATGGGCTTTCTTTCTGTGGTTCTTTCCTCTTTGAAGTGTCTGGACCTTCACTGCAGTCTGCAGATTCTAAGCATGGAGTGGGGACAAATACATCCTATCATGGACCAAAAAAGAAGATAAAGTGTCAGTGGATGGAAACAAGTACGCAGCATCATTTATATGAAGCGCTATCAGTAATATTAGCACACAAGTAATTCAGTGATTATTTCAACAATTAATCAAGCGTCTTTATACATTCAATGTTTAACAGCAAACATTTAATTTTACTTCATATACAGCTGCATGCATAAGTTTCAACACCCCTGGTCAAATTTTGTTTTGTGGATTTTCTAAGTGAAAGTAAATTAACACAGCGTCTACAGAAAACAAACTGTAGGCGTTTTTCTGCTAATTTTAGTGCACTGTTCCTATTTATTTACAGAGTTCAACATATTAGAAAGAAACTAAATATAAAATGTGCCATAACTTTCACACAGACACACAGGAGTGTGTTCCAGGGGTGTCCAAACTTTTGCAGACAATAGTAACTGATTTTAATTGTGTATTCATGGCAGCCCTAGAAGCACTAACAGCAATTTTAGTGCTAATAATGTACCCTTAAGGAGGATTTTCAGTCTGCTAAACATGAGTGAGTTACAAACCAGGACCATGAGGTGCTTTGCATCTAAAAAGTAACAATGAAGTGACCACGAAAAGTGCATAAACACATTCTTACGTGAGAAAATTCAGGCTGAGATGGCAAAGAAAGGCTCTTCTCCAATGTAAATCTTGGGGAATTCTGTGACACTGGGGTTGATGCTGCTGGTTTGGGCACAGGGTCTGTGTCCATTGGCTCATCTTCCCTCCTCGGTGGCTGGTCCTCAGGGGGGCCTGAAGTGTCCATTGGAGATTCAGCAGCCTCATTACAATCTAAATAAGAGCATTAAAAAGAGCAAATCAGAGAACCAGTTTCTGATATAAAGCCTATTTCCATATCTAAGAGTTGTACCTTGCTCAATGTCCTGTCCTGTGGGCGAGTTGGGGACAATGATGGGTGTTTGACTTAAGTTGTCCTGGGTAGCTGCCACAAAGTCAACAGACTGCCTATAATATTAGGAAAAAAAAAGTCAGTACTTACTTTTCAGCTTAGTCAAAAAGAATAGCTTAACAAATATGGTTACATGGTTAACAATGACTGGAAGCTATCAGACATCAATTTGCATGAAGTCATTGGCATCACAGTAATTGGTGGCTGCTTGCTTTTATCCACTGTTAGCAACAGCTTTTTCTGTCTAAACTGGCTCTTACTGTGAAAGGCTTTCCTGCACCAGGGTTCCCTGCCCAGACAGATGCAGCAGGCGGAGACTGTGAGCAGGAGTGGACGTTGGTTGCTGCTGATTGTCAGGCTCTGCTACTGTGCTGTCAACCTTAGAACCTGTGATATATAATTATAAAATATAGTTAACAACAACATATATGTCTCTGCTTAATTACGAGGGAATACATTAGCGCAGGCCAAGTTACTACAGGTGTCACAAAGCAGCTTTACAGAAAAATCCGGGTCCAAGCCCCCCATAAGCAAGTCAACGGCAACAATGGCAAGGAAAAACTCCCTAGGAGCAAGAGGACGAAACCTTGCGAGGAACCAAGACTCAAAACAGGGACCCATCCACCTCTGGTCGACACCGGATAGCAAAACAGTAACACAAGCAATATGAACAGAGAATAAGGTTTTGCCATTAGTATACAATATTAAAACACAGAAAAGGGGGGAAAAGGTCTAGAAGCTAATAGGTCAGTTTCCCAGAGAAGGATTAACCCCTTTCCTGGACTACAAAGCATTCTGAATGGAGATTCTCCATTGAAAGGAAAACCACTCCATTGGTTTCTAGTCATTAATTTAGGCACCTTTTCTTTTTCCTCACGGAACAGGACTGTGACTCACCCACTCATGTTTAGTAGGCAAGACATTCTCCACAAGGGGGCACTATTGGCACTAGAGCTTTAAAAAAAGCAGTGCTTTGCATCAATAATAGCATTCTTGTTTGACAGTTGAGCCCCTCCAACAAACATACATTACCATTCCACCCTTTTTGCGGATTTGCACTTATGTTTTACCATTTTATTTTGTACAACCTTTTACATTAAAAAGCCAAACTATGCTTTATTTACATTTTACTGACCCTTTTATTTTACACACATCAAACAATGCCAATGCTTATATGATTTAGACAGTTATATGAAGTCACTGTTTTTGTTGCAAGGGCTCAGATGACCTATTCACCTATCCTATGCACAACTTGTGCTCTACCCACAAATGCATTCTTTGGACAAGAGTTGAAGCCAATTGAAACTAGTCGGACAGAAAACAACAGTGACAAAGAATTTGCCACCATTCTAACATTAGCTTGGTTACATCACAGAGTGACCAAATCACATATATAAAATACACTTAATTTGCAATTAATAATGCATGCTAAACACAGCTGTTCTGACAAAAACTGAATTGTTCACTACAACTCTTACTAGCTTGAATGAGATTTTTGTCAACACTCTTTAAAGCTCATCTAATTTTCCAACAGTTTCTAAAAACAAAAAAAGAACGCGTCCAAAGGATGGACTCATAAATTTCCTGACAACACAGAGACTAACAAAGGAAAACACTAGCAATATCTCATTTCATAACAAATCAAAAGCACATCTAAAGAATTCTCACCATTCTTTTCTCCATCAAACAGATCATCCTGAGAGGAAATAATCTCATCCTCAGCTTCTAGAGACTCAGAGACCTGAGAGTGCAGTATGGCCTGGACACTCAGCTCTCTGCCTTCTTTCCTCTGAGGCCCAGATGGGCTGCTGGAGCTCACCTCTGCCCTAAAGGGAGAGAGAACTTTGAATGGCAAACTTAGCTAAGAAACAGAAATTGCACTTATGCCTTTCTCAAGAGGTTCTTACCTTCTAGATAAGCTGTCCTGGCTGTCTGATGCTCTAAAGGAGCTTTTCAGTCCAGCTGAAGATGAAAAAATAGAAAATTAAGAAAACTTAGACGAAACCTTAACACATGCCTGATCTTCTATTTTAATAAATGTTATTTAATTTAAAGTAACATCAATATAATGTATGTAAAGCACTTCAATTTGATACTTGGACAAACAGTACTCTATAAAACTGTTTGTTCTTATTATTAGTAGTATTATTGTTAGTAGTACTAGTAATATTGTTAAGTTTAAAAACCCTTTCAACTAGAAATAAACATGCTGTTTTTGTTACTGTGATTTAAAACCAGTATTGATCCTCATTCAAAAAGCAATCTAGGCTTAGTATATAACTAAAGTTCTAATGGTCAGGGCTAATCTGCTATAGGTGGACGTATAACATCACAAAAACAAAGAATCAAAAAACAGCCTTTCCATATATGGCCTGTGGAAAAAACAGTACATTCAGAAAATCTAACAAAGATAACATACTACATCAAACTCAACTAAAAAAAAGGATGAATCTGGTTTTCCATGATATGGACCCTTTAAAGTACTGGAATTCTGATTTACTTTGGATAGTCGCTTTCTGGCCCCCTGACGACAGGATGTTGGCAGGCGTCACCTCCACATCCTCATCACCACTCTCTCTGTTTTGCTCTTCATCAAACACACCCTGACTCTCTGACAGCTCCAGGAGGCCAAACTGAGACATGCCCCCTATGAAAATATGAACATGCACAGAAACAGAGCATTGCTCAGTCTACTGAAACACAAAGCGCTGCAAGAGAAACAGTCAAACAGGGAAGCAGTCTGTAAAATTTACTTTCCTCTCACCTTCTGTTTGTGCACAATGAGTAGTGGAATCAGCTCCAGACTCCATGTCGTCTTGGTCACTTCTGCACGGAAAGGACTTCAGTATTTTAGCATACACAGAAATGCTTACATTCAGATTTCTGTATTAATGTTACTGATACAGGTACACTGTAACCTTTATAGCTGTTTACATACCTTTTTGAGTTAGGATGAGAGCAAACTTCAAGCACTTGACTATGCTCTGTAGCGGCTGAACTCAGATTGGGCTGCAAGTTGTCTAAAACCAAACAAAAATAAGATCAACACATCATCAATAACTGATAACTAGCAGTACAGCTTCTAAGATTTTAAGTATTAACACACTCATACCAGCCTTATCAGTCTGGCTGTCACTTTGAGAGCATCTGCTTTTGGAGGGGGAGGAGATCAGTTCCTGAAAGAAAACAAAGCAGGTCAACTTATTAACTCTTAACTGACTGACAGCGCCTGAGAACAGCATCCTTGTTTTTCACATTTCTATTCTTTCAAACTGTTAAAGGGCCCATATCATAAAGTCCAGTTATGATATTTGTGGCGTTTTATGTTCCAAACTCTTTATCCCAAGTCAAGTCAAGTCAAGTCAAGTCAAGTCAGGCTTTATTGTCATTTCAGCTATATACAAGTACACAGTGAAATGAAACAACATTCCTCCAGGACGATGGTGCAACACAGGAACACAAATGCGAGACAATACAATATACACAGCGCAGACAATACAGTACAGTACATAAATACAAAAGACTTACAATAAACACAAAACAGAGCACAGGCAGTACACTGTACTGAGAGTATGTGGAGCTGTGCAAAGAAGGATGAAACATACTATGACATAGTAGCAGCTTAGCAGATAGCCTAGCATATATGAGCAAAGCAGTCACTGAGGTACCAACCAGAGCAGCAATATACAGTATACAGTATATGGTTGATACAGTAATTCTAGCAGCTAACATTGTTAAAGTGAAGTAAAATGTGCAAAAACGCCAAGTCAGATATTGTTGTGGAACTAAAATGTGCAGAATACGTGCAAGTATTCAGATCTACAGTCATATCAAGTGAAGTGTTTCAGTGAAATGCAGTAACAATAATTTGAAACTGCAAGAAGTGAGGAGTGAGTTAGTCCCATATTGTTATGTATATGTCCGTGGGTCCGTGTGGGTGTTATGTATGTGTGTGGGTGGGTCCGTGTGGGTGTTATGTATGTGTGGGTCCGTGGGAGTCGAGGAATTAAATAAGCTGTGCCTTTCAGATTGACATGTAAATGACCTCTGTTCTGATTGGCTGCCTTGCATTACACCTCTTTCAAAAAGTGGTCTAGCTATAAACACTCCTAACATTAGTGTGGACGGGCAGAGCTAAACCACCACAAAAAGCAGATATATGTGCTTCTGTGACCTCACAAAAACATTGACTCAGTTTTATGTGTGGCCTGTATGGAATGAGGAGTGAATGTTATACTCTGCAACTTTAACAATGTTTACATACTACGTCAAACTCTTATTTCATAAAAAACAAGAATGATAAGCCATTTAAAAGGTCACTGACAGAGATTTTGAGTGGTATTAGATTGATTCCTGAACAATATTTTGTTAAGTACAGTCAAAATTATAAAAAATACTGAGTTAAAGGGCCCAGATCATGGAAAATGAAAGCTTTCTTGTTTTTCATTTTTAATAGTATGTAAACAGACTGTTCAGTCTTAACAGACTATAAATGGAAAAAACCTGCAAAAACAGCCTGTTTTGAACTCACTGTTTTTGTGATGTCAACAAAACTAACACACATATACACACATACCCGCCTATTCAACCTATGGCAGTTTAGCTCCGCCCACTAAGGGTTGAGAAGTACTTCAGTCTGGACAGTTTTTCATTGAGGCACAAGGCAGACAATGAGAAAAGAAGTCATTTACATATATCAGCCTTAGAGGCACATAAACAAAAACAGCCAGTTTAATTGTAACCTGCATTCACACCAGCAGGGACGTAAGACTACAAAGCAGACGGAATTCATTCATTTTCAATGAGAGCTGGTGACAGGAAGCAGCACGAACGCTGGCGGTGTGAAGTGGGCGGAGTCTGCAAGTAGAACGTAGTTTAACTTTATGCAAATTTGGAGCGAAGCAATGTGGCGATTACCAATGGGAACTGAGCAGGATGGGTATGTGCTTTATTTTCATCACTGTGAAACAGTGTGCTCCTTTTTCGGTTCCTAGATATTTGTTCCTACTACAGATGGAGGAAAACAAACGCTGTTTTCTTCACGTACTGACCGCACAGACAGTGATGCAATATACAGGGAATTTATAGATAAGCGATTTGTCTCCAGGATTTTTGTTTTTAGCAGCAACAGTTCTGATATGTGCTCAGCATCAGTGAAACCACGGCAACCAACATCAGCTCGAGTTCAGAAACGCCCGCAGGCGACGAGCGACTGCAGATTTGGGCAACAAGAGGCAAAGAGACGCTGCAAGTGTGAACGCAGGGTAGGGGCTAAAGAGGTTGGCGAGATGTTTCATGTAAAAATTCATTTGGACTGTTTTCAAATATGGACTTCAGGGTTTTACGTCTTTCGTAAATTCTGTTTTGAGCACTGCACACATGGTGTGCGAGACCTGACAGTTAACCACAGTGTGTCATCTACTGGGTGCTTTAGGCTGTTTTGAAATAATTTAATATGCATAAAAACAAAAGCAGTAGGTCTCCTCTCAGGGAATCAGGTTTCTGTCTGGTCAAGTTTTATAATACTGGTGGTGTCATTTTAATAGCCCAATCAAAACAAGCAATGCCAGGTCTAGAAGGTATTAAAGTACCAGCATTTCAGCATTAGGGATTCTTTATCCTAGGAAAACATGATGATACTGAATTACACAGCCCAGCACTACAAAAAAAATCAAAGTTCATGGGGCAGACAAAGGATCTCTCACCAGAACTGGGCTGTGGGAGGTGGGCTGTAGGTTGGAAAGGCGGCGGGCGAGCAGGGCGCGATAGCTGCTATCCGGGTCGTCTTCCAGGGCCACACTGTCCGGCTGGGAATCTTCAACGATGAGGCAAGGGTTCTCAGCCTGAGGCAGACTTGACTCCAGATCACTCCCACCAGGATCCATAAGGATGCATCAGGGTTCGCAGGCAATAGCTGGAGAAAGAGATGGAGCAAAGGGGGAGTGGCACATGGTTCGGTCACATGGTCTAAAAGGTGCAGTGGAAAACTGGCCCTGACATAAACACACAACACAAATAACGCAGTTTATGGCAGGCTGGCACAACGCATTCACGACACGTCCACGTTAGAGGAAAGTAGGGCCGAGAAAAACAGAGAAGTGACCCTGAATGTGACCCCTTAAGCCAACAAGCCCAAAATTGCGCACTATGAACTACAAAGCGAAGAGTCAGCACTAGAAAACAGGCCTCGACCCGAGTATAAAACCCACTTATTTCTCAAAATAACTGGGACAGGACCCCTGGCAGGTCGCTATAGCCGAAAAGCTGAGGAACATCTTTTCCAGCCCTCCCAAAACACACAAGCTAAAGCTAAAGCAGCCAGGCAGCTAACCTAGCGTCACTTAGCCGGTTAGCACGGCGAGCTAACCGGCCACGCAGCGCTAAATCAGACTAAGACAGGAGACAAAACGCGAAGACAAACACAGTTATTCGCCGCTGAAAAGGCCAATGCAGATCTCTCTCTTACTGTGCTTGTCGCTTGATATTTAATCCATTTAATCCATTTAACCTGATCTCTGACCGCCGCAAAGCACGACACAACTTCTGCTGTGCCTTTTCTCGCCCTGCGCCCCGTTCACCCGCACTTCGCGGGAAAAGAGAAGCAAAGGACGCCGCTGATTGGCTAGAGACCTCTTCAGAAGCCGCTGATTGGCTAGACACGTCTTAAGACGCAAACGATTGGTTAGAAACTCCTTTGGAAGGTAATGGTCAGGTAGAAATGCAGTTATTACTCCAAATATTGGTCAGGAAGTGAATGGCTGGTTAGGATTTTTGAATAGAAAGTTTGTAGGCAACTTGTGGATAGTCAGAAACCACTTTAGTCTCTATTTTGCAACAAAATCAGTTTTCACTGGCTCAAAATTGCATAGGCCAGCTCTTTACCTGACTGCTGCTGTACATTTGTTTAAAGGGAGGAGCATGAAGACAATGCCTGTAGTAAGTTTATATATCCATATCTACAGTAAATACAGTAAATACCCCCTGGCTCCTTTCCCCACCACTGTAATGAAATCAGTCAGTACACTTCTGTACAGTTCACCACTTCACATTGAACTACTCTGAATGAAGCTGTTTACCAGCAACTGAACAACTTAAGCCTAAGGTCACCATGCTAAATACCAAGCATCAGCTAGAGGGGTATGAAGCCCCCCGGCATTGGGCTGTGGAGCAGTAGAACTCCATTCTCTGGAGTGACGGAGCTCTTTCCAATACATTTGGGATGAGTTGGAGTGATCCAGAACTAATCATCCAACATCAGCACCTGACCTCACTAATGCTGCTGTGGCCGAATGCAATCAAACCCACACAACAATGTTCCAACTTCTATCACTCTTAAAAAAGATGGTTCGTCAAGGGTTCTTTAGTGAAGACAATGGTTCTAATAGAACCATGAACACTCAAAACCATATTCAGGCTTAAATGGTTCATCGCATGGTGAAATGGTTCTTCAGATTGAGAGAATGTGTTGTATATGGTTCTATATAGAAGCTTTTTGAAAATGGTTCCGAATAGCACCAAAAGGGTTCTTTTGTTGTTACAAGCTTGACATTGTGACAGTAGCAGAACCCTTTTGGTGCTATACGGAACCATATACAACACATTCTCCATCCATCTGAAGAACAATTTCAGCACACAAACAACCATTTAAGCATGCAAATGGTTCTTTGAGTGTTCATGGTTCTACCTAGAACCACTGTTTTAATAAAGAACTTTTGAAGAACCTTCTTTTTTAAAGGTAAAGCCTTCCCAGAGGAGTAGACGCTGGTACTGGAGCAAATGGGGGCAAACTCACTATTAATACCCTTCATTTCAGAAGAGCAGGTGGACATATTGTGTACACTGGTACACAGATAGGTATAAATGCCATTTTACAGACTCACTGTTAGTTCTAACGGTCTCTCAGATTAAATAAGCACTATTTTCAAATCCAGCACCCCACCGCAACCCAGAAGGATAAGCGGTTTAGATGATGTATGTATGTATGTGTGTATTTTCAAATCAGTTAGCCGTTTTTGTGTCCTGCAGCTTTTTAATCGGGTTTGAAGTGACTTGTAGAAATAAAAGTTGATGTGAGGCACTATCAAGCTTTTGTTTGGTTAGTCTACTGTCAATAACACTTCAGAGATTGTGGCTGGTAGTCGTAGTCCATTTGATGAATCTGTGCCCACCGTTTCACATCAGGAGGCTTTAGGATGTCCTGGTCATCCAACACACTTATTTTGTTTGTTTTAGCTTAATTAAGTTGTTGGTTAGTTGGCTTTAAATGTGTAAATTTCTACAGTAAATAACATAAACCCAGAATACAATGAGGTCTGTACAGCAAGTCTAAAAGAGTCAACAGAGCAAAAGTTGTGAGAGCTCAAAAAGTCTAATATCATTTTTATAGTGTCTGATTTATATAGATTAAAGGGCCCATATCCTTTATTTTTTTGTATTTGACTTTTTCTCTGAGGTCCACTTGTGACATTTGTAAGGACATATTTACCAAAACAGTCCTAATTTATTTTAATATGACCCCTCGGATTTCTGACTGCTCAAAAAGACCTCCTTATGCTAATGAATATTCTAAAACATTAAATATTATAAAACATTATAAAACATTACGAAATGCAAAAAATGATGAAATGACTATGTATAGTGCTGTAATATGTAGGTGGTTAAATAGGCCTATTTTCATCGCTCAGCTTATGGTATGCGTTCTAATGGACACCCCAACCTGTAACCCATAACCAGGCCCCCTGTACAATAAAATTCTGGCCACTTTTTGTGCATAAATGCATTAGTTTTTGTGACATCACAAAAACAATGATTTTACAATGGGTCATTTTGAAGCTTCATACACAGTCATATGCAAAACTTTGAGCTCCACTGGTCAAATGACATGTTTTGTTGATTTTTTAAGTGGAAATAAGTTAATGAATCATCTATTGGCAATAAATTTAAATATGACTTTTAGTTACGGTTAGTTACTGTTAATTTTGCTGAATTTAATAGATTAAAAAAAGATAAAATGTGGCCTGTGCAAAAGTTATGGCACATTTTACATGCTATGTTTTATCTTTGCATCATATGGAGTGAGAAGTGAAAAGTATGTTTGGAAACTTTTAACAACGTCTACAAACATCTACCTATAAATTGGAAACTTATACCTACATTATAGGACACTTAACGCAAAAAACAATTGATGGAAACGTGCTTTTATTAGGCCTATTGCACTGCACCTAAAATATGATTGGACCTTATATGATTTTTGAGCACCGCGACCCAGAAGGATAAGCGGTTTAGATGATGGATGGATGGATGAATGATTTTTGAGCCCTTACTGCTAAGATGACGTCATCTGTGATGGTGGTGGCACCCATTTCATTGGCCACCTTCGTCTTCCTCGGCAACCATGTGTCATGACAGCTGACAGTGATGATTGATAGCAGCCTATTTATGAAAATGATCTTCTGTGCAATAGTCTGAACTGGTGGCTCATACAATCAGCCACAGTGCAGCTTAAAACATCCCTGCTGACAAAAACAATAGAAACAACTGGTTTTGCTGATGGTTTTGTAATGTGTTTTGGCTTTTTCAATGGGTTGATGACACAGAGTAAAGGATCCTAATGGTCTAACAGGTGACCAATGGCTGATTCTGAACGCATTTGATGGTTTCCTAATAGGATCTAAAGGTGTCCAACACGAAACTGGTGGTCTCTATTGCAAACCTTTAAGCCAGTTCTAATTAGACAGCAAAACCATCAAGTTTTAATGCTAACGGTTTCCAAAGGTCCTTTTTTTAGCAGGGATGCTATTTTCGTCCTTATTGAGGGCTCTCAGCCTGAAAGCCAACAAACTCGACTCTAAAAACATCAGCTTAGCTTCTTTGCGCTGCAGATAGAACGTGGCTTCTTATTCGACTTTTCCCGTTCCACCTTAAATGGCGCTGTTACTGCTGCGCCATTTAAGGTGGAACGGAAAAATTCGAACAAGAAGCTGGCGAATAAGAAGCTGACTTCAGCCTCGTCACCACCAGACTGTCAATAAAGCCTAATGCAATTCGTAACGAGGAAGAAAAACCCAAAAATATGAGCCAGACGTTACCTGAGAAGCTGAAATCCCTCCGGGCTGCGAAACGCGGCTTATTTCTCTTAAATCTCCGCAGGAACAAATTGCATGGATGCAACCGACTGTGGCTTCTTTTGCCCTTTTCCTCGCCGGATGATGATGATGATGATGGTGGTGATGATGATGATGGGGTGTGGGACAGGCTGCATGGGTGCCACTTAAAGATGCCTTGGCTTTTTTATTAATCCATTTGTTTATTTGATGTGTTCGAGCAGATCAATAGCCAGGAATGGTCACCTGAGTATTAATATGAATGCAAACGCGTCAGAAAACGCCACAGAAATGTTTTCGCATAATTTATCACACGTAAAGAGTCACTATAAGTCGGGCTTTATTCTCTATCGTCATTAACACTGGCACTGTTGGACTGTCCTCCAAAGCGTATACATTGTATAATGATAAAACTGGAGATCTCAAGCTCTCAAAGTCTGACTTTCAATGTTTTTTACCATAAAGAGGAGAAAAAGTGCACCCCCTTCTGATTAGAGCCTTATATTTGCATATAAAATAAAATCAGTGGCACTTTTTTGGGAGGTGGTGAAGATAAAAATTTCAAATGGATCTTCTGCCTCACAGATTAAAGGGGAACTCCACTGATTTTTAAAACTTCTACATAATCACATGGTTAAGATGGAAACAAACACTGTTTACAGTGGTGGTGATAGGAACCAGACGTCTCTAAAGCACCCTCACAGAAATATATTACATGAAATGGTTATGAATAGACGGCCTGATGTCTGGGGTGTTGTTACATGATATGTTTTAGATAAGATTTTGTCCTAAAATATGTTTATCATTATCAGCATTACACATAAAAGACTGGATTGTACATAAAATGGCTGTATTTGTGTTGCAGACAGCACAACCTGTGGTTCCTATCTGAGTTGGTAAGTTTCTCTACAATGAACCATTTCACTTCAAACCACTCTGAATGACTTCTACATCTCAAACTTTGAATTTATGCAGTGGTTTTGAAATATGGAAAAGTGGAATTCCCCTTTAAGGCCAGTTTCCTGGATTAACTCTAGTCTTTGACTAAAATGCATGACTAACGGCACAGGCCTATAATTAAAAGCATCCCGACGCACCTTGTAATTAGTGAACTCAGCTACTTTGAAGGAAAAATACACTGACTTCCAAAAATTCTGCATAATTAAATGGACTGTGCCGTTCAGAGGGTTTGATGTGAAATGTTCAGTCAGAGTTGTTCGCAGCGATGGTGACAGGAACCAGATGTTCGCTGTTTATCTGAAGGCTGAGACAGTAACTTGGCCTAAAATGTATTTTTAAAAAGCCATTCATGGCACAGACGTAGAAGAAAAATAGTACTCAAAGGAATTTTTTTTCCCAGATTTACCACTAATTTACTATTATTAACATTACATATAAACACTCAGAAGACACATGTAGGTTCGTTGGTTGCTTTGAATAGCAAATAAAATGGCTATATTTGCATGGTAGACATTGTAAAATCTGGCTTCTACCACCATCACTGTAATGAAATCTGAGTCAGTACATTTCTGTGCAGTTCACCACTTCACAGAATGAAGTTGTTTACAAACAAGTGAACAACTTCACGTCACCAAGCATCAGCTAGAGGGCTATAAAGCCCCCAGCATTGGGCTGTAGAGCAGTGGAACTGAGTTCTCTGGAGTGATGGAGCTCTGTCCAGCACATTTAAGATGGGCTGGAGTGATCCAGAACTGACCTTCCAACATCAGTACCTGACCTCACTAATGTTCTTGTGGCTGAATGCAATCAAATCCTCACAGCAATATTCCAACATCTAGTGTAAAATCTTCCCAAAAGAGTAGAGGCTGAAAGAGGAATAAACACCCTATTAATACCCTTGAATTCAGAAGAAACAGTGAACCAGGACAAAAAAAAACTAGTTTTAAACCTAGTCTAGGTTTAGGCTCAGTTTAGGAAACATAAGGTTCATAATGTATTTATTACCAGTGTAAATGCAGTTGTGTCCTCAGAAGTCCACCAGGGGGCAGTAGATGATGTTCCTTCTGCAGTGCTGTGGACATGTAAGGATGCTGATTCATGCATGGGGCTACAGTGCTGAAAACCCTCAGAGTGGACAGGTCTATTAGAATAAAGGACCTGGGAGCTGAGTTATAGCAGCCTGTCCAGCCCACAGCCAGTCAGAGCTTAATTCAAGGCCTCAAATCATCGGCAGTGTCTGAGATTAGATCCCTCTACGCAAAGTTCAATTTCACTGCAGATGATTCTGATAGATAAGCCATCATTCATATTTATGAGGAGAACATATACATGCTTGGCATTGAACCAACGGGATTCATTAATATGATGCTTGGCATATGGTTTAAATCAATGAAATTGATGTGAAATGCTCCGTTCTAGAGAAACTAGAGGATCTTTTATATTGGTGGTGAGAGGAATCAGACCCTGAAGCATTTAGTGCAACTTAAAGGTCCCTCACAGAAAGTTATTACGTAAGACGGCGATGAATACATTGCTTGATGCCTTAGACATAGTTTTATGGGAGTTTTGAGATGAGTTTTTTTGGATAAAATGTTTTTAAATACATTAATGGTGAGGGCGTACATGCAGGGCATTATAAGGAAAAATAGTTGATAATAATGTTTTTTTCAGCTTTACTACTGTTACAACATTATGTATACAATCTCAGATACGTGATTGTAAATAAAATGGCTGTATTTGTGTTGTAGACCTTGTGACCCCTGGTTCCCATCACCGCCACTGTAATCAGTTTTTATACAATTAACTGCTCTGCATGACTTTATGTACAGCTTAATCATTAAATTATATAGACATTTTTTTTAAATCTATCTCTAATCTTTAAACCCTTTTTTATATTACTTTGACAGTGCCAATCACCCCTTCACTGATTCATGAACTTGAAGGAGTGTAATATCTAAGAATAATCACCAATAAATTATCCAGCTCTGCCCTTTCAGCTGTTTTGGTTTATTTATAGACAGAACTAGCTCGTCCAGCCCTTTAAAGTGTTTAAATAACACGCTGAGATAAACAGTTTTAATCCCATTGCTCATTGCAGCAGAAGTTGTCACAAACAAAGAGCTCTGTTGAGGATCCAGTTCCCAGAGAGGGACACGCTGGCAGCTGTGAAATCGTCTCCTGGCACAGCCAGACATATACAACATCTCAATAAAGCATCCAAATTTTTTTAACATTTCTACCATTTTAAATTCCACAACATGCAAATGTATATAGATATGGACTTAGTTAGATATTCCATATATAGATATAGATGTAACATTTTAGCTTCTGATGTAAGTATATGCATATAGATTGGGGATCCAAGATGATATTGGAATTATATTGCTATCAGCAGATATTTTCTCATAACAAAAAAACTCCCAAAGAGCAGAACATTTAAGTGATGCTGGGTTACTGTGTCAAAATCTCTGCATTCTATTCATTTTACTGCATTTATAACCCTGCAGAAACACGTATTTCTCTGTAACGCTTTTATACACGGAACTAGTTCTAATTTCTACTTTTTATAAATGTTTATGTGTTAACATCAGCAGATACAGTCCCAAGCAAACGTTTGAATATTCCCTGTCAAATGAATTTGTTGATGTTCTAAGTGAAAACAAGATAACACGTTCTGTACTGGGAGTGCACTTGAACGTGGCATTTTTCTGCAATCGCTGAGTTTGACATACTGGAAAAAAATGAAGCATAAAAAATAAAATGTGCCATGACTTTTGCACAGGCCACATTTTATGCTGTACTTTTTTCCCAGTAAGTCATTAAATGAATGGTGATTGTGTATTAAATTATGCAGGAATGTGTTCGCTGTAGTGGATGTGTTAACTTGTTTTTACTTAGAAAATCAACACAACATGGCGTTTGACCGGGGTGCCAATCCCAGCACTCGCTGGGCAGAAGGCAGGAAACACCCTGGACAGGCCGCCCGTCCATCAGACACACAGATTCACATTCACACCTGGGGTCAACTTAGCATCTCCAATCGGCCTGACAGCATGCCTTTGGATTATGGGAGGAAACCCACGCAGACACAGAAAGAACATGCAACCTCCATACAGAAAGGAACCTGGTCGCCCGGCCGGGGAATCGAACCCAGGCCTTTCTTGCTGTGAGGCGACAGGGCTACCCAAAGGGGTTCAGTTATGCACTCTGTGGTTGCAGAAATATTAATTTCACTCATTCGTAGTTGATCTCATAGTTAATCACACTCTATACGCTTAATACTAGTGGAGACAACACAACAGTGGACTATTGTTTGCACACCCTGAAGATACCAGATGTGAGGTGAACTTTAAATATTTCCAATGGACCAACACCCTTTTTTGGGCACTACTTAACCCTCTGTAATCCTCATTTCAGGTGGAGATCTCTGGGTTTTTAACAGGAGCTTCTCCCTGGCTGTGCTTCTTAACTAAACATATAACTCTAGAGATTCAGTTGAGGCTTGTTATTTTTTGCAATTACAACACAAGGCTTCAATTTTCACCACAAAGCACTGACCATTAGAATCTGGTGCTCTGGGGCGGCGGCATGTGAGCCCAATGCCAAGTGTGGACTGGAGGGGTATATAGCCTGTGGCTGTGGAGCAGAGGAACTGCTTCCTCTGGAGTAATGGTGCTCCAATATGTTTGGGATGAGTTGAGGATCCAGAACTGATCATCCAACATCAGTACCTGACCTCACTAATGCTTATGTGGCTGCAATCAAATCCTCACCTACAAACATCTAGTGTAAAGCCTTCCCAGAAGAGCAGAGGCTGTTACTGCAGCAAAAAGGAACAAACTCCCTATTAATACCTTTCATTTCAGAAGAAACACTGGATTTTTATTGTACCAAATTCAGCTGAAATATTGCAGGCAATTAAAACAGCCACCGCATACTGATTATCCTGAGAAGGGCCATGTAAATACCTGCTGATGTCAAATAGCCATACAGCCAAAGAGCCAATCAGCAGCGCTCCTCTCTAGCTGAGTCACTCCTCTAGCCCCTCCCTCCTGGCCCCTGCCCCTCCTGTACTGTGAGCCAGGGGATGCAGTTGTCATGGAGATGGACCAGGCTCGTACGCGGGTTGGTGGCGGCGCGGTTGCCATGGAGACGGTGGCGGGAGCTGCTCTTCCCGCAGCTGAGCGGTGCGGACAGCAGCACTACGCGCTCATCGTGATCGGAGAGATTTCAGCAGAGCATCAGCTGTGGAAGGTGAAAGAGCGTATAAAGCAGGGTGAGTCCAGCTCGGGGTTCTGCTCCTGTGAGAGAGGGTTGTCTTTGCTGGGGAGGAAACTGGTAGTTTGGCGTGAAGCCTGGAGGGCCGCAGCACTGCAGAGTCACTCTGCCTCAGCTAGTAACGTGCCTGCTTCAGCTCATCGATGCAGTAAAAGGGAACTTTCAAAATTTCTGCATTATTCAGTCACTGGAATGTAAACAAAAGCTGTTCAGAGTGGTTTGACATGGAATGGTTCAGCGTAGATTTAGTTCTTTATGGTGGTGATGATAGGAACCAGCGTTTTTTTGATGTCTACAACACAAATATAGTCATTTTATTTACTATTCAAAACCACCAGTGAACCAACACGTGTCTTCTGAGTTTTTATATGGCATGCAGATTGTTGTAAAATAGTGCTAAATTTAAAATTTGAAATTTGGGAATTATTTTGCCTTTAATTATCCTACATGTACCTCTCCACTCTACAAATTTTAAAAATTAATTTTTAGGCCAAAACCTTCTCAAAACCATTGTAAAACAATGTCTCAGACATTAAGCGGTCCACTCGTAACCATTTAATGTGATACTTTCTGTGAGGGCGCTTTTAGAGGCATTAAACTCTTAAGACATCTGGTTCCTATCACCACCACTGTGAGCAGGTCTGACTTGGCAAGTTTCTCTACTCTCTTAGAAAAGAAGCAAAGAAACTGTCACAGGGGCAGCTCCCCTCATGTCACTGGGGTGGTACCCTCAAGGATACATCACAGCACCTTTAGTAAGGGAACATAATTGTACTATAATCCTTTGAAATGATATTTTCAAAGTTGTATTGACTCCACACCCCGTCTCGTCTCCAGCCTTTTTATTTTATTGCTCTGCTTTAAAACATTAGGTTATGAAAAAATACAAATATGTACTTTTCACCTGGAAAAAACCTATTTAAGGTAAATAATTGGACCTTAGAACCACTGCTGTACCTTTGAGGGAACATTTATATTGTATGTAGCTTGATGAACGAAAAATGTACCTGCACAGAACCTTTATTTCTAACAGTGTAGATTGAAGATTCAGTACAGTTCAAACAACCTTGAATGATTTTTTACATCTTAAAGATTTAGTTATGCAGAAATTTTGAAATATCAGTGCAATTCCCCTTTAACAAAGCCTTCAGTGACTGAAATCAGGGTCTAAAAAGAAAGAAAATGCCACCCAGGACTGGAACCTGGACAGATTAGCATTTAAATTGTTCGCTTGTACCCTAGACACTCTATAAACTTTTCCCATCATTAGATGGAAGCCCATTCCAGCCAGGTAGAGGAGAATAATTACTTTCTCTGTTTCTATGTCAAAATATTCACTCATGATTTCTTATTTTCTCAAAATGTTGTCTTAGCATCTCAAAATAATGACTTATTTTCTAGAAATGTGGACTTTGTATTTTAAAAATGACTTTTTCTTGAAAATTTTACTTAATTTCTCAAAATAAATATTTATTTTCTCTCATTTTTGAGATACTGAGTTATTACTTTTCAAAAAAGTGATTATTTCAAGACAATGAATCATTGTTATGAGACACTAAGTCGCTATTTTGATGTTATTCTCAATATTTTGAGAAAGCAAGTCATTATTTTAAGATATTTTGACATACTATTGCCAGAAATAGAGGAGAAAAAAAACGTGTGTACTTTTGGTAGGAATCGCCTTCCATACCACCCCTGATAGAAACTGCTGAGAATATCTGCAATAAATTTTGCAGATGCTTAAAAATAAATGTGCATAAATAAATAAATGTTCATAAAAATAACAGTTTATTTACAAATATTCAAATTATGTATTTATCTACTTTATCAATAGTCTATACAAGAAAAAGACAACATAATCAATAAAATGAATAATTCAGTGTTTCGTGTCGGTGTGCGTCAACTCCTAACAAGCCACACGATTCCTCTGTAGTGAACAAGTCCATGATTCCTCTGTAGAGTTGCCTTAACAGTGATTCATTTTTTAGTGTTTTGATGCAACAGGTGTTCAACACAGAAACATAAGAGTGTACAGCCACTCTGTATGCGTGTATTTGTGAGCTGAATGCTGTTAGATTTATAACCGTGACACAGTGTGTTGAACTGAGCCAGCAGCATATCTGCCTTGCTCCACTTTCAATATTTATCTACATCTATATTTATACCTTAAAAAAAAATAACGCTTTTACTGAAGGGCAGCATTCATAAGGGTACAAAACACTGCTCTTCACAACTGACATAAACATATATAACATTTAGAAAGGCTTGTTCATACAAGCATCAGTTGTCATAATGCCTTCTGAGATGAAATCACATCAGAATTGACCAAAGCAGCCTTTATGACAGCTGGTGCTGGTTGGAACAGGCCTTTATTAATGTTTATGTAGATTTATGTCAGTCATCATGAAAGGCTTATGTAGGCCATCTTTCGACTGCTGCCCTTCAGTAAGGTGTTACCAAAATGTATCAAGTTGTTATTAATGTTTTATTATTTGCCATGTCTTATGTATTAAGTTGTTATCAATATCAAATCAAGTGACATTAATTATTTTAATCAGATCGTTCCAAGACCTTTCAAAAGGCAGCTGATGTGTTTCAGATCGTTATGGTTTGAGCAGTTTATTAGCAGATTTCAATGCAATGGTTAAATGTCCCGTCCTCGTCCTCGCAGGGCTCCGCTCTTGGCCCATAGATCTGACGACCTGTGACCTGAACCAGGAGCTGCAGCTCTTTGAGACAAAGCACTCGGCCCACTTCTCTTCAGAGGTCAAAGGTCAGTCATCTATGAAATGTGCAATATCCTCACTGTTATATTAAAGCCTCATAAAGTGTTATTACATTTCTCCCTCTCTCTCTCTCGTACACTTTCTCTCTCTCTCTTGTACACTTTCTCTCTCTCTCTCTCTCTTTCTCTCCCGTACACTTTTTTCCCTCTCTCTGTCTCTCTTTTTCTCTGTCTCCTGGTCTCTCTCTCTGTCTCTCGTTCTTGCTAGCTCTCTCTATCTCTCTATGTCTTTGACTCCTGCTCTTTCTCTCTCTCTTTGGCTCTTGCTTGCACTCTCTCTCTTTGTCTCTATCTTTCTGTCTCCTGCTCTTTCTGTCTCTCTCTTTCTCTCGCTCTGTCTCTCTCTCTCTCTTTCTCTGTCTCATGCTCTCTCTCTCTTGCCCTTGCTGTCTCTCTATATATCTCTCTCTCTGTCTCATGCTCTCTCTCTCTCTCTCTCTCTCTCTGTCTCTCTGTCTCTCTCTCTCTCGCTCTCTCTCTCTCTCTCTCTCTCTCTCTCTCTCTGGGGAAAACTGGTCATGCTGTTGGTTGCTTGCTTTATTATCTGATGCTCATGGAAAATGTTAGGTTTTGTTTGATTTATTTTGCCTTATTTTGCTGTGAATGTGCAGTTGCTGTTATTGTAAAGTTACCATTCCCTCTATTATAGCATATTTCAGTTTAAACTTGCTTTTAAAGAACCCTGAGAGTACTGTAGTGGGTATGTGGGTGTGTGTGTGTGCGTGTGTGTGTGTGTGTGCGTGTGTGTATGGGTGTGTGTGTTGCTGCAATCTTGGCCTTGGTTACTAATAGTGAGCGTGTGTGAAAGCGTGGCAGCTGAAGGGCAGCGGGAGAAAAGAGCTGATTGTCTTTTCTTCTGAATCGTACTAAGACATCTCTTCATCCACACCAGCGTGTGACTGTAGATCTGACTGGAATTCGTAAATGTACGTTACATCAGGAGGGAGCATTGATTCGGCTCTTTTATCTGCACTGTAGTACGATGTGGATCAATAATGCTGATGGATTGATTTGTTTGAGTAGGAAAGCTTTGTGTTCAGTGATTTAAGCATCTTGGCTTTGAAGATTGTAACTTCATAACAGTGGCATAACTGCTGGGGGACATTCGCACTGGGGCCCACGGTATTCCTAAAATCTTTATTGGTTCCCTCATATAGATACTGACACAGCTGCACACCCACAATTCGGAAAGATCCAGTTTCTTAAAAACATGCTTCACCAGTTAGTTTCCATCAACACAACACAGACAGAACTGATGTCTCCTTATCTCCCTCTAATTCATAGTGTACTTCATGCATGGTGAACTGATCCTTCAGAATCTGTAATATGACATATTCATTATTTATAAACAATTACATTGAAAAAATTATGCATTTTATCTGTATATTGCACAGTAAGGTTTGTCAGGATTCTATGTAACGGTCTTATTTTGGCCACATAGCTAAATATAACATATCATTATTGTGCTCCAAATAGGTAGTCTAGCGTAAACATTTAGGTCAGTGTTAGATGCTGGGTGGAGCTGTATGCCCTGAGAGCACTAATGGGTTTGAGACATAATAATAATGAATAAATAAGCAAAATAAATTGTACTTTTTTATTCAATGAAGTAATTTTCGAATGGGAGGGCATTCAGGTTTTTGTACTGAGGCCCGTAAGATCCTACTGCTTCAGGGCAATTTTTTAATCCTTTCCTTTTGGAAAAGGAATTTTTCCTTTCCTTTTGGGAGGCTGAAGTCTTTATATTCAAAATGGCATACTTTATTTCTGATCACGTACCTTCCTGGTGCAGTCTGTACTGTTTGTATTGTTGACCTACACTGTTAGAAATAAAAACCTTTGAGGGTTCCACCCTGGCGACAAGAGGGGTGCCCCAGTGACAGTTTAGTACCTTTATTTCTGAGAGTGGACAGCAATGGCATGCAGCAATGAAATTACCCCCACTGTTTGCAATGAAGTCTGCATTGCAAACAGTGGGGGTAAAAGAATAAACTGCCATAGGATACACTGGACATTCCTATTTTTTTACAAATGTACATATTTTTATATTTCAAGTTGATTCATAATTTTTACAATTATTTTTGTATGCTGATGGTAAAATAGTAATATATTGCAAACCAGTTGCCTTAAAGTGCCCTGTATGTGCCTCTCTGCCATGAAGGGATTTTAAAAATGGTTTTTTTGGGCAAAAACTTCTTGTAAAACAGTGTCTCAGGTAGCATATCTGTAACCATTTCATGAAATATAGCATTCTGTGAGATAGCTTTTAGAGGCCTCTTTGGACATCTGGTACCTATCATTACCACTGAAAAGATAATCGATAAAGTTCTGAAAAATGGGACATTTCTCTACAGTGCATCATTTCACATAAAAAGTCATTCACATGAATGACTTTGTTTACCTGTTAATGATGTAATTATGCAGATATTTTTAAAAAAATCTTTATAGGACAATCTGAGTGCTATGTTTAGAGTCTTGCAGCTATAAATATGTCCTTCATTAGCATTTACTCTACTTTGTGCCTTATACAGGCTGACCTGTCAACATCTGCTCTTATCTCCATTAGTTACTGAGCCCATAACCCTGACGCTGCAGCAGCACTAACACTCACTGCACCAGCACTGCAGCCTCAGCACATATGAAGCTGGAGGGAATAAAGCTGTAAATCTGAATTCACTCTGTTCCCAAAGTGACCCGACAGCATCAACACAGAGGTTCACACATGAATGTGCCTGTACACACACACACACACACGCGCACACACACACACACACACAAACATCACACACACATACATCTCATACACACACACACACACATACATCACACACACGCACACACACACACATACGCATAAACACACACACACACGCACACATCAAAGACACACACACATTGCACACACACACACACATACACATACATCACACACACACATCTCACATACATCCACACACACACATATACACACATACAAACACACATCCACACACACACATGTCAACACACAAACACACATACAAACATCACACACACATACATCTCACACACACACATACACACACATACAAACACACATACACATCCACACCCACACACACACACACACATACAAACACACATCCACACCCACACACACACACGTCAACAACACACACACACACACACACACACACATCACACACGCACACACACATCGCATACACATCCACACCCACACATACATACACACACACTCACACACACACGCACACACACACCACACACACACATGCATCACCCATACCCATAAACACATACACACGCAACCCCCCCCCACACACACACACAGGCACCTTTCCTTGTGTAAAGCCTTGTTTACTTTTTTGCATTATTATTATTATTATTATCCGCGACCCAGAAGGATAAGCGGTTTAGATGATGTATGTATGTATGTATGTATGTATTATTATTATTATTATTACTATTTCATACAATAAGTCTAGTTTCTGGTCAAAGATTTTTTTTTTTTGATTACAAAACCCATCCCTGGACACTACAGGCTCCAGATTTGAAGACCTCTGATTTATGCTTTTTGTAGCATTTTAGTGAAAACGTGAGGTTCTTCACAGTAGCCATAAAACACAATTTCTGCCTGTTCTGGAGGTCCCTCAGTTGAACTATGCATTTTTGCAGTAATGGAATATCAACAGAAATATTTTCAAAAATATTTTTTTTATCGTCATTTATACATTCATACATGTTAGGTTTTATTGTGGCAGTTGTACAGGATTGTTTGATATGAAGAAAGCTGCAGTTGTGGTCGCCTTTGTGAAGAGGTGCGGATTGTTTTCATAGCAGGGGGTTCTCACTTCACCTCTTATTGCTCACTATCAGCTCAACACAGTCACAACACTTCACATACAGGGAGCAACCAGGGTGTTAATCTTATAACAGAGTTGTGGAGCAAAGATATTGCATTTGATTAAATTAATAAAAAAATATCCAAACTTATCCAGATATTCATTCTATCAGCAGAGTGACCACTGGGGTCCTGCTAACTAAACGCCTTAAAGGACCAGGAACTGCTGGCAGGTCCAGACTTCTAATACAAACCTCAATTACTTTGCCAATTTGCTATGCAGTGAGATTAGCTACTGAAACATGGCATAAGGATATAATAAGTCTGGGAGTTTAAGTATTTAAAAATTTGCATTCCTAAAATTCTCTGCAACCCTGTTCCGCAGATTTTAGAGCTATATAAGAAACATAACCCCTAAACTTGAACCTAGAATTGTTATTCCATTATGAATCTTAAGGCTTATTATTCAGTAAGTGCTATAAATTATTCAGTAACTATTATCAAACCAATTTGTAAGTTATGTAGTTATGAGAATGAGAAAGTGACCCCCTCAAGTTAATGGTTGGGATTAATGCTATAATGCCTCACCCACCTCAGTCTGATCTGTGCTGCCACCTCTGCTGCTCTCTAATGAATAAAACATCCGTCCCACCTCCAATTATACTTCCCCCATAAATAACAATAACGACAGCCCCCTTCCTCAACCTTCCCACTCACTCCCCCTCTCTCACTCCCTCTCTCTCTCACTCCCTCTCTCTCTCTCTCTCACTCTCTTTCTCTCTCTCTCCTTCGTGCATTAATGAAGTCTGAGTGAAGTTCCATCAATATACTGTGGAGTCAGTAGGGCCGTCAGGTTTGCTGGAGCAGAAATCAATCACAGTCTCTCCGCTGGAGGTTTTGGACTGGCCAGGAGGCTCAGCCTCTCAGGATGGCCTCTTTTAGGTTGTCTGTCTTTTAAAGTCTGCGAAACCAAAACCTGTTAAAAAGCATGTTTATCCTTTAACCGCTATAAATTAACATATGCAAATAAATTCCTTCATAGTGTCTGTTTCATACTGAGGTTGGATGAGCTTTACAGAATGTTGGAAACAAAAATAGGTTTGAGTTTATAGTTCTGTGCAAAAGAGTTTAAAGCAATATGTCAAAA